AGACCAACGCAAGTACAACACTAGACTAGCACAAGAACAATACCAGACCAACACAAGAACAATAAAAGACCAACACAAGAACAACACAGGAACAACAACAGACCAACACACTCCACCACCCTGAAGGGGGGGGGGGGGGTCCCCCAGTAACTTTCATAAACAAATCTGATTTTCTTCCTGTGAGTGTGACCAGATGTCCATGTGACAACTTCATTACGTCACGTGTTATACGTGACGACCTACTAAGTCACGTGCTACACATGACAACCTCGCCAAGTTCATATGTAACTTGTCCAGCTATCAAAACTTCGGGCCCAGTCCCTGGACCCATTATGTACCTCTGTAATGTTGAGGTACAGTCCCTGGACCTATTATGTACCTCTGTAATGTTGAGGTACAGTCCCTGGACCTATTATGTACCTCTGTAATGTTGAGGTACAGTCCCTGGACCCATTATGTACCTCTGTAATGTTGAGGTACAGTCCCTGGACCCATTATGTACCTCTGTAATGTTGAGGTACAGTCCCTGGACCCATTATGTACCTCTGTAATGTTGAGGTACAGTCCCTGGACCTATTATGTACCTCTGTAATGTTGAGGTACAGTCACTGGACCCATTATGTACCTCTGTAATGTTGAGGTACAGTCCCTGGACCCATTATGTACCTCTGTAATGTTGAGGTACAGTCCCTGGACCCATTATGTACCTCTGTAATGTTGAGGTACAGTCCCTGGACCCATTATGTACCTCTGTAATGTTGAGGTACAGTCCCTGGACCTATTATGTACCTCTGTAATGTTGAGGTACAGTCCCTGGACCCATTATGTACCTCTGTAATGTTGAGGTACAGTCCCTGGACCCATTATGTACCTCTGTAATGTTGAGGTACAGTCCCTGGACCCATTATGTACCTCTGTAATGTTGAGGTACAGTCCCTGGACCCATTATGTACCTCTGTAATGTTGAGGTACAGTCCCTGGACCCATTATGTACCTCTGTAATGTTGAGGTACAGTCCCTGGACCCATTATGTACCTCTGTAATGTTGAGGTGCAGTCCCTGGACCCATTATGTACCTCTGTAATGTTGAGGTACAGTCCCTGGACCCATTATGTACCTCTGTAATGTTGAGGTACAGTCCCTGGACCCATTATGTACCTCTGTAATGTTGAGGTACAGTCCCTGGACCCATTATGTACCTCTGTAATGTTGAGGTACAGTCCCTGGACAAATTATGTACCTCTGTAATGTTGAGGTGCAGTCCCTGGACCCATTATGTACCTCTGTAATGTTGAGGTACAGTCCCTGGACCCATTATGTACCTCTGTAATGTTGAGGTACAGTCCCTGGACCCATTATGTACCTCTGTAATGTTGAGGTACAGTCCCTGGACCCATTATGTACCTCTGTAATGTTGAGGTACAGTCCCTGGACCCATTATGTACCTCTGTAATGTTGAGGTACAGTCCCTGGACCCATTATGTACCTCTGTAATGTTGAGGTACAGTCCCTGGACCCCTTTTGTACCTCTGTAATGTTGAGGTACAGCCCCTGAACCCATTATGTACCTCTGTAATGTTGAGGTACAGTCCCTGGACCCATTATGTACCTCTGTAATGTTGAGGTACAGTCCCTAAACCCATTATGTACCTCTGTAATGTTGAGGTACAGTCCCTGGACCCATTATGTACCTCTGTAATCTTATGACTACCACCCACAGGATGGGTATGAGGTAAATAATGAAGATATTAAACTAAGCCACTTACTACACTGACCAGACCCTGATCCACCATGAGGCCTGGTCACAGACCGGGCCGCGGGGGCGTCGACCCCCGAAACTCTCTCTAGGCATACTCCAGGTATAGGAGAAAGAACCTCTCTGACAGATTCACTGAACACAAAAGAAGTATTAGACTTCTTGACATCAATTCTCTTGTCATGTCAGAGATCACAATCATCCTATTGACTGGTCCTCAAAGCTGTCTATCCTTCTTTTAGCTTTCACAGTCGCCTGTTTGTTGAAGCATTCATTATACACAACTTTCCTAATACGAATCTTAATTCTGGCTTTGTTGATGCTTTCCTGTTTCATTACAGTGTTAAATTCTCCGAACTTCACAACACTGGTGACTCAACCTGATCCTTCCTTCTCTTCCTACCTGTTATTCCCAATATTTTCCTTTTTACTGCCTAGGTATATTCTGTCCACTCTTGTGAGTCATTGGCTCTCCTGCAGTGACTTAATTCCTGTGTCCCGTGGCTTGATCGCTAGCACGCGGTGGCCCGGTGGCCTGGAGTTACCTGGAGTTTACCTGGAGAGAGTTTCGGGGGTCAACGCCCCCGCGGCCCGGTCTGTGACCAGGCCTCCTGGTGGATCAGCGCCTGATCAACCAGGCTGTTGCTGCTGGCTGCACGCAAACCAACGTACGAGCCACAGCCCGGCCTGGTGGCTAAAGCTCCCGCTTCACACACGGAGGGCCCGGGTTCGATTCCCGGTGGGTGGAAACATTCGACACGTTTCCTTACACCTGTTGTCCTGTTCACCTAGCAGCAAATAGGTACCTGGGTGTTAGTCGACTGGTGTGGGTCACATCCTGGGTGTTAGTGGACTGGTTTGGGTCACATCCTGGGTGTTAGTGGACTGGTGTGGGTCACATCCTGGGTGTTAGTGGACTGGTGTGGGTCACATCCTGGGTGTTAGTGGACTGGTGTGGGTCACATCCTGGGTGTTAGTGGACTGGTGTGGGTCACATCCTGGGTGTTAGTGGACTGGTGTGGGTCACATCCTGGGTGTTAGTGGACTGGTGTGGGTCACATCCTGGGTGTTAGTGGACTGGTGTGGGTCACATCCTGGGTGTTAGTGGACTGGTGTGGGTCACATCCTGGGTGTTAGTGGACTGGTGTGGGTCACATCCTGGGTGTTAGTGGACTGGTTTGGGTCACATCCTGGGTGTTAGTGGACTGGTGTGGGTCACATCCTGGGTGTTAGTGGACTGATGTGGGTGGCATCCTGGGTGTTAGTGGACTGGTGTGGGTGGCATCCTGGGTGTTAGTGGACTGGTGTGGGTCACATCCTAAGTGTCAGTGGACTGGTGTGGGTCACATCCTGGGTGTTAGTGGACTGGTGTGGGTCACATCCTGGGTGTTAGTGGACTGGTGTGGGTCACATCCTGGGTGTTAGTGGACTGGTGTGGGTCACATCTTAGGTGTTAGTGGACTGGTGTGGGTCACGTCCTGGGTGTTAGTGGACTGGTGTGGGTCACATCCTGGGTGTTAGTGGACTGGTGTGGGTCACATCCTGGGTGTTAGTGGACTGGTGTGGGTCACATCCTGGGTGTTAGTGGACTGGTGTGGGTGGCATCCTGGGTGTTAGTGGACTGATGTGGGTCACATCCTGGGTGTTAGTGGACTGGTGTGGGTCACATCCTGGGTGTTAGTGGACTGGTTTGGGTCACATCCTGGGTGTTAGTGGACTGGTTTGGGTCACATCCTGGGTGTTAGTGGACTGGTGTGGGTCACATCCTGGGTGTTAGTGGACTGGTGTGGGTCACATCCTGGGTGTTAGTGGACTGGCGTGGGTCACATCCTGGGACAAAACTGACCTAATTTGCGGGATGTCATTGATGTCAACTATGGTCTGTATACCTTGTACATGTACTGGTATACCTTGTACATGTACTTGTATACCTTGTACATGTACTTGTATACCTTGTACATGTACTTGTATACCTTGTACATGTACTTGTATACCTTGTACATGTACTTGTATACCTTGTACATGTACTGGTATACCTTGTACATGTACTTGTATACCTTGTACATGTACTTGTATACCTTGTACATGTACTTGTATACCTTGTACATGTACTTGTATACCTTGTACATGTACTGGTATACCTTGTACATGTACTTGTATACCTTGTACATGTACTGGTATACCTTGTACATGTACTTGTATACCTTGTACATGTACTTGTATACCTTGTACATGTACTGGTAGTAAATTAAGACATTACTATGTATGATAATCTTAGTCATCTAAGCTTGTGTAACTGTGTTTATATGTACCCGTACCTGAGTAATCTTAATTAACCAGGGAAGTAGGTGCAAGAAGACTTGTCCCTACGCCTCAGTAGGATTAATTAACTTTCACACCATTATGTACCCCATACCCATCCTGTGGGCTGTAGTCAAAGGATTACAGAGGTACATAATGGGTCCTGGAGAGGGTTTCGGGGGTCAGCGCCCCCACGGCCCGATCTGTGACCAGGCCTCATGTGCCTGAGGGCCTAATCAACCAGGCTGTTACTGTTGGCCGCACGTAACCCGACGTACGAACCATGGACTGGACCGCTAAGTTTTGATAGGTGAACGAGTTAGTCATAGTGAGTAGTGGATCAACTCTGAAACTAATGAACCTTAAGCTTCAGGGCTCCTAATCCCGGAGGGGCCCCAGACCTTACTGTAGTCCACATTGTTTAAAAATCTCAGGTGTACAGAATAATAGTAAAAAAAATTAGAAGATTATTAAAGTATTATGTAGGCCTAGCCGTTGCTGGTTGCAAAGGGGCCCCACTAACAGTTCAACTGTCAGGGCCCCAAAAATGTAGGCCGGCCACTGCGCCCTGGTATATAATGTATATTTATCTTAGCATAAACCAGTGAAATAATTTATTATTTTCCCTTTGGGAATTTTATATCAAGCTTCGTATTTTTATTTGGGGGGAGGAGGCCTTTCAAAAGCCTCATACATTTTAACATACAAATAAAATAATTATCTGTCCTTTGTTATATTAACCTTGAAAAAATGTTGAACTTGAAAATCGCGTTATGTAAAACACACACACACACACACACACACACACACACACACACACACACACACACACACACACACACACACACACACACACACACACACCAAAAAAACAGGAGGTGACATCATGACCAGAACGTTGACGCTTCCGGCTGATGGAGGTATATATGATGTGGAATGTCTGAGACACACACAACAGCTGTCACTCCTGAGACACAGCAGATCTCACTCCTGAGACACACAGTACCTCACTCCTGAGACATACACAGCAGCTGTCACTCCTGAGACACAGCAAATCTCACTCCTGAGACACAGCAGATCTCACTCCTGAGACACAGCAGATCTCACTCCTGAGACACAACAGATCTCACTCCTGAGACACAACAGATCTCACTCCTGAGACACAACAGATCTCACTCCTGAGACACAGCAGCTGTCACTCCTGAGACACAGCAGATCTTACTCCTGAGACACAACAGATCTCACTCCTGAGACACAACAGATCTCACTCCTGAGACACAGCAGATCTCACTCCTGAGACACAACAGATCTCACTCCTGAGACACAGCAGATCTCACTCCTGAGACACAGCAGATCTCACTCCTGAGACACAGCAGATCTCACTCCTGAGACACAGCAGATCTCACTCCTGAGACACAGTACCTCCTACTCGCTTGACTGAGAAGTACTCGCAGAATTATCACTGTTCCACAAACTGTAACTCTCACTCACTGCATTGAAAGTACTCACTAAACTAGTATCACAATAATGAAACCCAACATGTCCAGCCCAAGGAAGTTCTTCGTGATCGGTAACTGGAAGATGAATGTGACCAAATCTCGCATCGATAACATCGTGAAGTTCATGACAGCTGCCTCTCTGGACCCCAACACAGGTGAGCACCTTCCACATGTTTTAATGTCATCTTTTTATGTTGATGTATCTTGAAGATGTTAACTGTTACCACATTATGTTAAATGTCACCTTGTAGTTCACTGGTAGAGTGGTTCACACTCTCTAGAAGAGCCAGGTTCGAGTCCTGGATGGGGTGATTTGCATGAGCAAATGATGATTCTATTCCCCCATTCACCTAGCAGTTAATAGATATGGGGAATTTATTCGAATTGTGGGTTGAATCATAGGGGAGAGGAACTAGGAATTCCAGTCAAAATAAACCCTACTTTAACAACCCAAGAAATGTCTTCACACTTGAGCCACGTACAGAGAATGTTAATATGCTAAATAACACATATTTTTTGTATCAGTTTTGTGAGAACAAATATTAACATGTGTTTACCCCAACAGAGGCAGTGGTTGGATGTCCATCCTGCTACTTGTCTTATGCCAGAGACCAACTTCCACCCAAGATTGCTGTAGCCGCTCAGAACTGTTACAAGGTACAACCTGCTTGTATTGTCTGTTGTATACTGTTATATGGTACAATGTGCTTATATTGTCTCTGTTTTATACTGTTATAAGGTACAACATATTTGTATTGTCTGTTGTACACTGTTGCTTCAACAGTCTACAACAGGGTTTGGAAGAACATAACTGGTAGTGTAACTATTGCCTTCTGTGCTCTACTGTAGTTATAATTACGTGTACTAAAAAAGTGCCAAACCCATATGGGTGATACAGCTTATATTTATAATTCCATGTTTTTTTGAACAGGTTGAAAGTGGTAACTTTAGTGGAGAGATCTCACCGGCCATGATTCATGACTGTGGAGGAGAGTGGGTCATCCTGGGTCACCCTGAACGCAGGACTATATTTAATGAACCTGATCATCTCATCAGTGAAAAGGTCGCTCACGCCCAAAAAGCAGGAATTAAGGTAACACTTTCATCACTCTTACATTCTCCCAAAATGAAACTTGTGTTTTCAAACTATAGTAATGAGTTGAAGTCAATATCAAATTTACATTTCAATTTAATCTAAGAAAAGTATAAGTTGAACTTTAATAGAATTGTTCAGGTTTGCCAAGTGTGATATTAGTAGTTCTGATATGTGTTGAGGTTTGCAACACAGCTTACATTACTGATGTTATTGCTGGTGTTGATGTTTGCAAGAGAGCTTAACTTATATTATTGATGTTGTTGCAGGTGGTGGCATGTGTATGTGAGAGGAAGGAAGACAGAGACAGTCAGAGGACAGAGGAAGTATTGTTTGAACAGATGGAATACCTGGCTAGAAGCATCAGTGACTGGTCAAGTGTAGTGATAGCCTTTGAGGCATTGTGGGCCAGCAATACTGGAATATTGGCCACTCCAGCCCAGGTACAGGAGGCCCTGGCCATGCTGCGTCACTGGCTGTGTCATAACATCTCAGACAAGGTGGCCAACACAACTCGCATCATCTATGCTGGTTCAGTCTCCTCCAACAACTGTCAGGAACTAGCTAAGTTGAAGGACCTCGATGGCTTTCTGGTGGGAAGCTCAGCTCTCAAGCCTGACATTGTTGACATTATCAATGCCAGAAGTTCTCACGTCTCCAGACTTGTTGACATTTTCTCCTCATATGAACGTCTATCCAGGGCAATATAAACACGAAAAAATGCATTATGGTACCGACAAGATGTGGAAAAGGCCTGATCATGGACAGGGCCGCGGGGGCGTTGACCCCCGAAGCACCCAGATATGTACAGCTTACATCTAGTGTCCTGAAGTGTACATAAGAGTCTTTTTCCACAATATAAACATGACCAGCCTTAATTCACATTGATATTCTGTAACAACGAATCCAGATTAGCAGAAGATACGAGGGACGTGAACCATTTCCGTAACCTTGGAGAACCGCGTTGAATTATTATTATTATAATAGGGGAAGCGCTAAACCGGAGATTATTACAGCGCCTGGGGGGGGGGATGATAGGAGCATAGGCTTAAATTCGGGGAACTGAAACACAGATCAATTCCTAAATCAAGAGCCCCTCACCAAATCAAGGAACCTTCCTTGAGGGGTACCGCGTTGGAGAACCGCGTTGAAAGACGTTATAATTAGGTCGACGTTCCGCTCTAGAGGTTTAGCATGACTTAGGGAAGGTCCTCATAGAGCGATCTAGAGCTTTATCATGACTTATGGAAGGTCCTCATAGAGCGATCTAGAGCTTTATCATGACTTATGGAAGGTCCACATAGAGCGATCTAGAGCTTTATCATTACTTATGGAATGTCCTCATAGAGCGACGTTTTCCCAGTAACTACGTAATCCACAATGCAAGTTAGTTTGTTCACTATTTCTGGTATTATGTATTACCGAGCAGCTCACCTGATTACTACTAACTACTAACTAATTACTTACTACAATAACAACTACATTACCTAACTACTACTACTACACTACCTACTTAGCATAACTCTCTACTATCGCCATACTCACTAACCCTAATCATATATCTACCACTACTACCTACTACATACTACTCACTACTACCACTACTACTACTACTACCACTACTACTACTAACAGTAATCCTCTCGCTTCTTAAATGTCATATATTTTAATATCATAAATCATATTATTGTAAGTTATATTTAATATAATATAATTAATATTTATTGTGATGTACACAAGTTAAGAATTACGACTGTAAACCTATATATGGATTGTATTATATACCCCATACCCATAATGTGGGCGATAATCTCTCTATACCCATAATGTGGGCGATAATCTCTCTATACCCATAATGTGGGCGATAATCTCTCTATACCCATAATGTGGGCGATAATCTCTCTATACCCATAATGTGGGCGATAATCTCTCTATACCCATAATGTGGGCGATAATCTCTCTATACCCATAATGTGGGCGATAATCTCTCTATACCCATAATGTGGGCGATAATCTCTCTATACCCATAATGTGGGCGATAATCTCTCTATACCCATAGTGTGAGTGATAGTCACCCCATACCAATGGTGTGGATAGTAGTCAGAGACTACAGAGGCTCGTAATGGGTCCAGGGACTGTACCTCAACATTACAGAGGTGCATAATGGGTTCAGGGACTGTACCTCAACATTGCAGAGGTACATAATGGGTCCAGGGACTGTACCTCAACATTACTGATGTACATAATGGGTCCAGGGACTGTACCTCAACATTACAGAGGTGCATAATGGGTCCAGGGACTGTACATCAACATTACAGAGGTATATAATGGGTCCAGGGACTGTACCTCAACATTACTGATGTACATAATGGGTCCAGGGACTGTACCTCAACATTGCAGAGGTACATAATGAGTCCAGGAACTATATCTCAACATTGCAGAGGTGCACAATGGGTCCAAAGACTGTACCTCAACATTACACAAGTGCTCAATGGGTCCAGAGACTGTACCTTAAATTACAGAGGTGTACAATGGGTCCAGAGACTGTACCTCAACATCATACAGGTACATAATGGGTCCAGGGACTGTACCTCAACATTAGAGGCACATAATGGGTCCAGGAACTGTACCTCAACATTCCGGAGGTACATAATGGGTCCAGGAACTGTACCTCAACATTACAGTGGTACATAATGGGTCCAGGAACTGTACCTCAACATTACAGAGGTACATAATGGGCCCAGGAACTGTACCTTAGGTACCTACTTACTGTTAGTTGAAGTCACAACAGGTGTAAGGTAACTAACACCCAGGTACCTACTTACTGCTAGGTGAACAGGGACAGTAAGTGTAAGGTAACTAACACCCAGGTACCTACTTACTGCTAGGTGAACAGGGACAGCAGGTGTAAGGTAAATAACACCCAGGTACCTACTTACTGCTAGGTGAACAGTGACTGCAGGTGTAAGGTAAATAACACCCAGGTACCTACTTACTGTTAGGTGAACAGGGACAGTAAGTGTAAGGTAACTAACACCCAGGTACCTACTTGCTGTTAGGTGAACAGTGACAGCAGGTGTAAGGTAAATAACACCCAGGTACCTACTTACTCCTAGGTGAACAGTGACTGCAGGTGTAAGGTAAATAACACCCAGGTACCTACTTGCTGTTAGGTGAACAGTGACAGCAGGTGTAAGGTAAATAACACCCAGGTACCTACTTACTGCTAGGTGAACAGTGACAGCAGGTGTAAGGTAAATAACACCCAGGTACCTACTTACTGCTAGGTGAACGGTGACAGCAGGTGTAAGGTAAATAACACCCAGGTACCTACTTGCTGTTAGGTGAACAGTGACAGCAGGTGTCTTAAGGAAACACGTTCCAATGTTTCCACCCATACCGGGGATCGAACTACGTGAGTTGAGTGCGCTACTAACCCATCTACGGAACGGGTAGGGTTTGAACCCGTGGCAAGTGAGTCCTGGCCGCTGAGTAATAGGACTCACTTACCATGGGTGAGTCCTGGCCGCTGTGTAATAGGACTCACTTACCATGGGTGAGTCCTGGCCGCTGTGTAATAGGACTCACTTACCATGGGTGAGTCCTGGCCACTGTAATAGGACTCACTTACCATGGGTGAGTGCTGGCTGCTGAGTAATAGGACTCACTTACCATGGGTGAGTCCTGGCCGCTGTGTAATAGGACTCACTTACCATGGGTGAGTCCTGGCCGCTGTGTAATAGGACTCACTTACCATGGGTGAGTCCTGGCTGCTGAGTAATAGGACTCACTTACCATGGGTGAGTCCTGGCTGCTGTGTAATAGGACTCACTTACCATGGGTGAGTCCTGGCTGCTGTGTAATAGGACTCACTTACCATGGGTGAGTCCTGGCCGCTGTGTAATAGGACTCACTTACCATGGGTGAGTCCTGGCTGCTGTGTAATAGGACTCACTTACCATGGGTGAGTCCTGGCTGCTGTGTAATAGGACTCACCATGGGTGAGTCCTGGCCGCTGTGTAATAGGACTCACTTCCCATGGGTGAGTCCTGGCTGCTGAGTAATAGGACTCACTTACCATGGGTGAGTCCTGGCCACTGAGTAATAAGACTCACTTACCATGGGTGAGTCCTGGCCGCTGTGTAATAGGACTCACTTACCATGGGTGAGTCCTGGCCGCTGTGTAATAGGACTCACTTACCATGGGTGAGTCCTGGCCGCTGAGTAATAGAACTCACTTACCATGGGTGAGTCCTGGCCTGCTGGTAATAGGACTCACTTACCATGGTGAGTCCTGGCGCTGTGTAATAGGACTCACTTACCATGGGTGAGTCCTGGCCGCTGTGTAATAGGACTCACTTACCATGGGTGAGTCCTGGCCGCTGAGTAATAGAACTCACTTACCATGGGTGAGTCCTGGCCGCTGTGTAATAGGACTCACTTACCATGGGGGGTCCTGGCTGCTGAGTAATAGAACCACTACATGGTGAGTCCTGGCTGCTGAGTAATAGGACTCACTTACCATGGGTGAGTCCTGGCTGCTGTGTAATAGGACTCACTTACCATGGGTGAGTCCTGGCCGCTGTGTAATAGGACTCACTTACCATGGGTGAGTCCTGGCCACTGAGTAATAGGACTCACTTACCATGGGTGAGTCCTGGCCGCTGTGTAATAGGACTCAAGCTACTCAAGTCCCAATATGACTCAGTTTTTAGCAAGCCACTAACCAGACTGAGAGTCGACGATCAAAATGAATTTTTTATGAGAGAGCCACAAAATTTGGTTAACACAAGCCTATCTGATGTTATCCTGACGCCAAATGACTTCGAACAGGCAATAATTGACATGCCCATGCACTCTGCCCCAGGGCCAGACTCATGGAACTCCGTGTTCATCAAGAACTGCAAGAAGCCCCTATCACGAGCTTTTACCATCCTATGGAGAGGGAGCATGGACACGGGGGTCGTCCCACAGTTACTAAAAACAACAGACATAGCCCCACTCCACAAAGGGGGCAGTAAAGCAACAGCAAAGAACTACAGACTGATAGCACTAACATCCCATATCATAAAAATCTTTGAAAGGGTCCTAAGAAGCAAGATCTCCACCCACCTAGATACCCATCAGTTACACAACCCAGGGCAACATGGGTTTAGAACAGGTCGCTCCTGTCTGTCCCAACTACTGGATCACTATGACAAGGTCCAAGATGCACTAGAAGACAAAAAGAATGCAGATTTAATATATACAGACTTTGCAAAAGCCTTCGACAAGTGTGACCATGGCGTAATAGCGCACAAAATGCGTGCTAAAGGAATAACAGGAAAAGTTGGTAGATGGATCTATAATTTCCTCACAAACAGAACATTAAGAGTAGGAGTCAACAGAGTAAAGTCTGAGGCGGCTACGGTGAAAAGCTCTGTTCCACAAGGCACAGTACTCGCTCCCATCTTGTTCCTCATCCTCATATCTTACATAGACAAGGATGTCAGCCACAGCACCGTGTCTTCCTTTGCGATGACACCCGAATCTGCATGACAGTGTCTTCCATTGCAGACACTGCAAGGCTCCAGGCGGATATCAACCAAATCTTTCAGTGGGCTGCAGAAAACATTATGAAGTTCAACGATGAGAAATTTCAATTACTCAGATATGGTAAACACGAGGAAATTAAAACTTCATCAGAGTACAAAACAAATTCCGACCACAAAATAGAGCGAAAAACCAACGTTAAAGACTTGGGAGTGATCATGTCGGAGGATCTCACCTTCAAGGACCCTAACATTATATCAATCGCAGCTGCTAGAAAAATGACAGGATGGATAATGAGAACCTTCAAAACTAGGGAGGCCAAGCCCATGATGACACTCTTCAGGTCGCTTGTTCTATCTAAGCTGGAATGTTGCTGCACACTAACAGCACCTTTCAAGGCAGGTGAAATTGCTGACCTAGAAAATGTACAGAGAACATTCACGGCACACATAACTGAGATAAAACACCTCAATAACTGGGAACGCTTGAAGTTCCTGAACCTGTATTCCCTGGAATGCAGGCGGGAGAGGTACATGATTACATACACCTGGAAAATCCTAGAGGGACTAGTACCGAGCTTGCACACAAAAATCATTCTCTCCGAAAGCAAAAGACTTGGCAGACGATGCAACATCCCCCAATGAAAAGCAGGGGTGTCACTAGCACGCTAAGAGACAACACAATAAGTGTCAGGGGTCCAAGACTATTCAACTGCCTCCCAGCATACTTAAGGGGGATTACCAACAGACCCCTGGCTGTCTTCAAGCTGGCACTGGACAGGCACCTAAAGTCGGTACCTGACCAGTCGGGCTGTGGCTCGTACGTTGATTTGCGTGCAGCCAGCAGCAACAGCCTGGTTGATCAGGCTCTGATCCACCATGAGGCCTGGTCACAGACCGGGCTGCGGGGGCATTGACCCCCGGAGCTCTCTCCAGGTAAACTCCAGGTAAATGACCCACATGGAGACAGAAACACAAGAGGTTCATTGATCTTTATATTTGGACCCTTTTTTGGGGGTTGAAATATACAGATCAATCAACCTCATGTATTTCTGTAAGTAATTAGGTTTATTCAGGTACAGGTACACGTAAATACAGTTACATAAATTATCATACATAGCAGCATATGTGTAAGTTACCCAAAATAACCCCCAGAAAAACTCAGTGGCTTATTTCCATTGGAGTCCTGTCTCCATGTAGATTATTGTTGAATATACAATTATTTTAACATCTGGGAAATGGGAGGTAATCAGGTTTGATACAAGGACAAGGAAGGACATAATTTAACACTATAAATTCCAATAATTCCTCGGATTTATTACGAAATAAGTGATAAATCTGTGTCACCATTTGGAACCAGAGGGTATTTCCCAGCTTCCTTAATTGAGGTCGACCCCTTGATGACCTCTCACACGGGCCAGGGATCACGTGAATGATCTCAAGACGTCAGTGTTCTCAAATGTGTTGGTAAATTCTTAGGAAAATCCATAAAACTGGACAACAACTGACAAGAGATGTTGCTACTTCCTGTCACATCCGGTGTACTTATCTCTCTCTTCCCAGGGATTATTGTCCTCTAGTAACCCACTTATTTTACAGCATGGAAGGTATGATGAGGACTAATGTAACTTAATAATATCTAACCCATCATAAAATAGTCTAACCTAACTTAACCTAACCCTATCTAACCCATCATAAAGTAATGTAATCAAACCTAACCCTATCTACCTCATTAAGTAATCTAATCTAACCTAACCCATGGATATAAATTATATAAAATAACGGCATGATGGAAAAATAGGCACAGATGTAAGATGTCCCGTAGCTCCATTGGTAGTGCACTTAGCTCACACACTGAGGTCCGTAGTTCAATCTCCGGTACAGTTCAAAACATTAAGACGTGTTTCCTTAGGACACCTGCTGTCCCTGTTCACCTAGCAGTAAAATAGGTACCTGGGTGTTAGTCGACTGGTACCAAATGTGCGGGAAACGCTCTGCATAACAAGCGGCTTTCTATATAGTAGTACGTCATTGATGTCAGCTATGGTCTGTATAAATTGTATCATTTATTCTTTCTTTCAACACACTGGCCGTATCCCACCGAGGCGGGGCGGCCCACCGAGGCAGGGCGGCCCACCGAGGCGGGGCGGCCCACCGAGGCGGGGTGGCCCAAAAGGAAAAACAAAAGTTTCTCCTTTTACATTTAGTAATATATACAGGAGAAGAGGTTACTAGCCCCTTGCTCCCAGCATTTTAGTCGCCTCTTACAACATGCATGGCTTACGGAGGAAGAATTCTGTTCCACTTCCCCATGGAGATAAGAGGAAATAAACAAGAACAAGAACTAGGAAGAAAATAAAGAAAACCCAGAGGGGTGTGTGTATATGCTTGTACATGTACGTGTAGTGTGACCTAAGTGTAAGTAGAAGTAGCAAGACATACCTGAAATCTTGCAGGTTTATGAGACAGAAAAAAGGACACCAGCAATCCTACCATCATGTTAAACAATTACAGGCTTTCATTTTACACTCACTTGGCAGGACAGTAGTACCTCCCTGGGCGGTTGCTGTCTACCAACCTACTACCACAGGACAGTAGTACCTCCCTGGGCGGTTACCTACTACCACAGGATGGTAGTACCTCCCTGGGCGGTTGCTGTCTACCAACCTACTACCTAGAAAATTGTATCATGTACCTGCAAAAATAAAGATTACTATTATAATGCAATCCTTTATTGACTATGTTTTGCCCACACAGTTGGCTTTATCAAATCACAAACATAATTACCTAAGCAGAGGGCACATGAGTATATGTGAATATCTAAAGTACTATAATGAACACTTGTCAATGATCAGTAATAACCACATGGAGACAGAAACTCAGGAGATTAACTGATCTCTATATTTTGACCCCCTTCTAGGATCTTCTACTTACTGCTAGGTGAACAGTGACAGCAGATGTGAATAATACCCAGGTACCTACTTACTGCTAGATGAACAGTGACAACAAATGTAAGGTAACTAACACCTGGGTACCTACTTACTGCTAGGTAAATAGTGACAGCAATTCAAGGTGAATAACACCCAGATGCCTACTTACTGCTAGGTGAACAGTAACCTAACCTGCTGTATTAGCAAGGTATGACCGTACAGCAGTCCCCTTTGCATCCGCGGGGATACATTCCAAGATGTACCATGGATGCTAAAAATCACAAATAGAAGCGGACCTTACATATGTCTTTTTCGTTTACATATGTACCTGTGATGAAGTTTAATTGATAAATTACGCACAATAAGTCAAGAATTACCACTTTCGATGATGGGAAGCACTTCACAGCTTCTCTTAGGCTTTGAAGAAATGTCAACATCACTACTTCTGTGCTTTGGTGTTATTATTAAGCAAAATTAAATGTTATTTTTTGGGCCACGGTAAACCTCAGATAGCTGAACCCGTGGAAACCGAATCCATTGATATGGGGGTTCTACTGTATTGCATACCAGTGCTGTAATGCCTGCCTCTCCCTCCCTCGCATCTGAGGCACCATTATAACATTATTAGGTAAATGGAGCTTTGTCAGGCTGTTAAGGCTTGACAAAGCTCCTGACAGAGTGAAATGTTGCTACAAAATGTCACATAAGTTGCACTTGCGTCCTCTTACGTAACATATTGTCGGTTACTACACCAACATTATTACACATTATCACATTCTGTCAATTATATTCATGTGAAGTACCAAACCAATATGGGTCATACAGCACCTAGGGAACGAGAATGGAGTGTAATCAGGTTTAATCTGAGAAAGTGGAGGATTATTATTATTATAATCATGGGGGAGCGCTAAACACGTAGGGATTATACAGTGCCTGTGGGGGCGGGGATGGAAGGTATTCAGACTTAATTCAGGGAACTGGAGCACAGATCCAATTCCCTAGATCAAGAGCTCCTCACCAGCATCAAGGAACCTCTCGAGGCTTGAGTAAATACATCATTACATACATAGGGGAAATGCTAAATCCATAGGGGTCACACAGCACCTGGGAATGGGAGGCACTGAAGTTTGATCCAAGGAAGAGGAGCACAGTTTCATTTCCTTGGATGAAGAGCCCTTCACTTAAGTGTAAAGCTCTACAAATAAGCAAGAAGAAATTGGTAATTAATTACACACATCCTCTAGCATGACTAATTCCGTGAATTTTTTTTAATAACTCCACTTTTTTTTTTAAAAGTTCAACTATATTTTCAATAATTCCTCAGATGTTTTTTCAATAATTCCAGATTTTTTCAGTAATGCCACAGATTTTTTTCAACAATTCCACATTTGTTCAATAATTTTACATATATTTTCATTATCACAGATTTTTTCAATAATTTTACAGATATTATCAACAATTCCACGTATTTTCAATAATTTCAGACTTTTTCAATCAAGTGAAAGCGTTAATAAACAAAATTAAAATTTTCGACATATCAAGGAGGAAATTAAAAGATTTGCTTAACAAAATAAGGAAGTATAAATACAACATCAAAACAATGTTTTACTAAACCGAACTACAATACCTGATATACTACAATATACCACCGCACAATTTCCATTATACTTGATCAACAAGTTTAAAGGTCATATTTTGTGGATCCGTCAAAATATGGAAATAAGTTTTGTAAACCGGTACATCCTCGTGCATTTCGTGATCCACATAGAAAAGTTTTATAAAACGGTGATCCCAGTTGGGATTCACTTTCTCCGTCGTCATCACAACTCGTCCATGTTCTCTGGCAAAGAGTGTTTTGTCTCTCCCTATGCCAACCTGAAATTACAGAAAATGCTGTAATAAAAGTAATAAACTTGACATGGTTCACTCACATTAGTGTAATGTAACAGTGTTGGTAGGATTACCAACAATATGTTAGGTACAGGAAGACCCCACTACTGTAGGGCCCTGCTTTTACAGCAGGTTAGGCTCCTAGCTACTGTAGGGCCCTGCATATATAGCAAGTTAGGTTCCAGGCTACTGTAGGGCCCTACTTATACAGCAGGTTAGATTCTGGGCTACTGTAGGGCCCTGCTTATACAGCAGGTTAGATTCTGGGCTACTGTAGGGCCCTGCTTATACAGCAGGTTAGGTTCCAAACTACTGTAGGGCCTGCATATATAGCAAGTTAGGTTCCAGGCTACTGTAGTGCCCTACTTATACAGCAGGTTAGGTTCTGGGCTACTGTAGGGCCCTGCTTATACAGCAGGTTAGGTTCCAGGCCGTTTCACCATAAAGTGAAACGGCCATTTTTTCATTTTCAAATGTATATAAAAGCTTGATAACAGGTTTACACAATCACATATTTAATGAACAATAGAGTCAGGCCTAAAAAATGCATATACAGTACACACATTACTTACCTTAAAATATTTTCGTCCTTAGCTTATAGCGAGTGGTGAATACATTTACTGTAGGAAGTCTGAATAAATGAAGAATGGGTAATTGAAAACCGCTGTATTAGCAAATCGCTGTAAAATAGAACACACCTATAAAAGGACGCAAGTGCAGTTAATGTGACATTTTATTGCGTCAACATTTCACTCTCCAAGAGCTTTGACGAAGGTTTTGGAGAGTGAAATGTTGACGCAATAAATATAAGTGAGGAATTTAACCTTAATCTTGTTTTTTTTACATCACCCATTTCCCACAAAGGTAGGACAGTTGTAAAGGTAACACACTCACCATCACTCATGCAATATCTCACTAAACCTCACACTTTGTATACGGACTTGAGTCCTGGAGATGGGAAGTACAGTGCCTGCACTCTGAAGGAGGGGTGTTAATGTTGCAGTTTAAAAACTGTAGTGTAAAGCACCCTTCTGGCAAGACAGTGATGGAGTGAATGATGGTGAAAGTTTTTCTTTTTCGGGCCACCCTGCCTTGGTGGGAATCGGCCAGTGTGATAATAAATAATAAAAAAATTAAACAAATGCTACATCTATCTCCCCCTCTCTCTCTCTCTTTCTCTCTCCTTCCTTTCTTACAAATTCCACCCCTACTGCTCACCCTTTTCACTCAGCCTCCACTGAGTCCTACGATTTGATAAAATGAAGAGCATTCTGTACTTTAAAGTTAACCCTTAAGCTGTCCAAACATAGATCTGCGTTCATGTCAGAATGATAACAAATTCCCACTACAGGCAGCACACTCCACCAATATTCAAAACACTAAACCTACTCACCATACAAAACATCCATACTTATTACTGCACCTATTACATACATAGAACACTTAACTCTGATATTAACCCTCCCCTCAAACATCTCCTTGCCAACCTCAACAGAACACATGACCATAACACAAGGCACAGATTACTCTTTGATGTTCCTCGTGTCCATCTCACGCTATGCAAAAACTCAATGCACATAAAAGGCCCTAAAATCTGGAATTCATTACCTGTAAATATAAAAGAAACACTACCTGTTTATAAATTCAAGTCTCTTCTCAAAGATCACTTACTCACCCAAAACCAAATAAATACTGAATAACTGAACCTTATAAATTGTATATCTTAAATGTTTCTCACAATTATATCACATAAATGTTAAACCTAAGACCCAATCTAACTTTGTTATTTTTTAAATACACTACCTAACAGAATACTCCATTCTACTGAATGTACAGCAATGCAAGCAACCATATGACCTGTCTTTGTAATACTCATTTGTGCTTTATTGTTATCTGTTTACAATAATGTTTTATCACTGATTACATCATTGCTTAGTTAATCTTAAGTTAATTTTAAGCCAGCCCGTAATGCTATGCATACAAGTGGCTTTGGCATGCTGCTCTTACCTGTATTTTTTTGTACCTCTGTATGTATGTTCAAATTATAAAATAAATGAAATAAATAAATAAATAAATAAATGTGCGTAGCGCTCCGACCTTGATTTTCCCCACCTGAAAGCACGTAAAAAAACATAGATCTACGTTTGGAGCCCCCCGCACATGGACGTAGATCTACATTTGGACAGTTTAAGGGTTAATTGTCTATTATGAACTACACAGAAAAGCCCCAACTTATATACGACTCATGCTCCTGTTTTTATAGTGTTTAGAGCTGCTGGTTCAGTAACAAAATATTTAATTGTGCTCCGTTTGTAAATGTGGATGTGTGTTATTAATATTGGTAACTTCCTTTGTGAGTTTGGGTTATCGTAGGTAATTTGAACACGTTGCAATGATAATTTATGTAACTGTATTTGTGTGTACTTGTACCTAAATACACCTACCATCCGACTTATGACCTGCTCGACTTACGACCACTCGACTTACGACCGTGTTTTTTATGCCAAATTTCTGGGAAATAAACAACTATTTAAGTTGTACACAGTGTTTATCCTAAACCTTACAGTATAAAATACAGTACTAACAGCATAAAAAGTAAAGTAAAACATGAAATACCAAAATAAAACAATAAAATAAAGTCATTACAAAAATGTTTAGTTGATATTCAGTAGTAAAGTTCGACTTACGACAATTTCGACTTACGACCGGTTTCTCGGAACCAAACTCGGTCGTAAGTCGGATGGTGGGTGTACACTTACTTAACATTATCGTATTATAACAGACCCCTCAAACTTACGGCATTGAAAAAGTCTTAAAGCTGTTGAAATCAGAAATAGCAGATCACCTGACAATTCCTCTCTGCCTTTAGATTAAAATAGTGATTGTTAAGATTAATAAGATTTGTTTGAATTTTTATCCTGGATGGTTATCCATGCATGATAACCCAATTAAGTCAGTGTGTCATCAAGGACTGTGTCTTATTTCCATTGTGGTCCTTTAATCTTGTCTCCCAGGATGCGACTCACCAGTCAACTAACATACAGGTACCTACTTACTGTTAAGTGAAGTGACAGCAGGTGTAAGGTGGCTAACACCCAGGTACCTACTTACTGCTATGTGAACGGGATAGCAGGTATAAGGAAACATGCCCAACATTTCCACCTGTGTTGGGGATCGAACCATGGATACTCAGTATGAGGCCAGAGCATTTCGACAAAATTTTTATATGCCAGTTATTTATTTTGCACCAAATCAAAATCTAGCACAGCCATGTAATCCATCAAAAATTTAATGTAATATGATATACGATATCTAGCCAATCTTACAATTTGTAAAAATATATAGTGCTGTTTACTAGAAGGAGAGTAACACTTCAGATGATCCCACGGAACTTACCAAGACTAAGACTAAACCCCTTTAACTACACTGGAGAACATTTAAAACAATAATGGCAAGTGGCAAAAAATGAAACCAATGTAACATCAATGTAACATTAGTTTGAGGTAATCAGTCCCTTAGCCTAAGGGACTGATTACCTCAAACTCACTGTACACCTTTCTCTATACTGGACTGATAAAGCCACTGGCTGGCAAAACGTTTCCAGAATAAAGATTCCAAAACATTGCACAAATGTCTCATTTATCGACTTTTTGGTTTTCTAAATCATTTATTCACACTACGTAATATCAATCATCACGGATCCAAATTATTGGCTGGAATAATTCCCCTACTGTGTATGCACTGTACTGAATATTTACAATGCCTGTATAACCATCATAAATACAACCTCTCCTCACTTAGCGATGTACTCGTTTACCGACGACTCGGACTTACAGAGGGCTCTCTGACCAGTATGCATACATACCTAAATAATGTACATTACAGCTGATTTCCTCTATTCTGTTTATTACAATATACAGTACACTACTGTACAAACATTTAAAAAATACCAGAAATGTTATAAAAGGTGCAAACCTGACATTAAAACAAAATCAAAGATGGCTGGCACAAACTCACTACCATTATACTATGCTCCTCACTTAGCGACGAATTCATTTACTGACGTGGTCTTAGGAACACAACTCCGTCATTAAGTGAGGAGAGGCTGTATTACTGTACTAACAATATAGAATAATCTAACTTTTTCATACCTTGTATATCAACATTTCTAATTAAGAAACCAAATCTAGCCTTATATATATGGTTACCTTTGTATAAAAAATTACATTTATAGATTATTACGTTTGCTGATTCTGTGTCGCAAAATTTGCTCCAGTGATAGACATGTATTATGTATAATGAATTTCAATCTAGTGCAGTAATTGCTCAATTTTACAATCTGTTTGAATGTAATTGTGATCATACCCAGTTTGCCATTCTCAATAAATAAAATGCAATGTAAAATACATAACCTAAAGGTTGATGACTAAATTAAATCTTACATTTAACCCTGGATAAAAATCCAGTCCAAGCTGTCTGACAAGTATTGTTCCTTGGGTGACATAGAGACCATCTCTTTTCTTAATGCCACGACGTTTGCCCCTAGGACGCCCAGGTTTATTTCTGCTGCTGCCACCTGACTTCTTACTGGCATTCCGTGCACTTGTCAACCATCCGACTGTATTGCCTGAAATAAAATATGAACATTATAACAAATTCCCTTGAATTATTTTTTTTAACACATCAGCCATTTCCCACCGAGGCAGGGTGACCTGAAAAAGAAAAAACACTTTAATCATCACTCACTCCATCACTGTCTTGCCAGAGGCATGCCGATACTACAGTTAAAAACCTGCAGCACATCTCCACCCTTCCTTCAGAGTGCAGACACTGTACTTCCCACCTCCAGGACTCAAGTCTAGGATACTGGTTTCCCTGAATCCCTTCATAAATGTTATCTTGCTAACACTCCAACAGCACATCAAGTCATAAAAAACATTTGCCTCCTCTTGCTCCTAACATTCTCATGCACACTTGCTGGAAGTCTAGTGCCCCGTGGCCGCGTGGCTAAAGCTCTCGCTTCACACGGGAGTGTCAGGGTTCGATTCTCAGAGAGGGTAGAAACATTGGGCATGTTTCTTTACACTGGTTGTCTATGTCCACCCATCAGTAAAATGGGTACCTGGGTGTTAGTCGACTGGTGTGGATGGCATCCTAGGTGTAAGTGGACTGGTTTGGGTCACATCCTGGGTGTTAGTGGACTGGTGTGGGTCACATCCTGGGTGTTAGTGGACTGGTGTGGGTTGCATCCTGGGTGTTAGTGGACTGGTGTGGGTTGCATCCTGGGTGTTAGTGGACTGGTGTGGGTCACATCCTGGGTGTGAGTGGACTGGTGTGGGTCAAATCCTGGGTGTTAGTGGACTGGTGTGAGTGGCATCCTGGGTGTTAGTGGACTGGCGTGGGTCGCATCCTGGGTGTTAGTGGGTGTCATTCCTTAGGAAATTTACGTACATATACACGTACTTCCGTGTGTTTTAATGTAATTATTGCAGCGCTGTATAGCCCTTGTGGCTTAGCGCTTCTTTTTTGATTATAATAATAATAATAATGTAATTATTATCATGGGGGAGCACTACATCCGTAGGGATTATACAGTGCCTGTGAAGGGGTATGGAAGGCATTCAGGCTTAATTCAGGGAATCTGAGCACAGATCCAATTCCCTAGATCAAAACTCCAGTTTTTAATGTAATTTCTTCGTATTAAGCGTGCTGTGCAATTGAGGTTTCTAAACCTGTATTCCCTGGAACGCAGGAGGGAGAGATACATGATTATATACACCTGGAAAATCCTAGAGGGACTAGTACCGAACTTGCACACGAAAATCACTCACTACGAAAGCAAAAGACTTGGCAGACGATGCACCATCCCCCCAATGAAAAGCAGGGGTGTCACTAGCACGTTAAGAGACCATACAATAAGTGTCAGGGGACCGAGACTGTTCAACTGCCTCCCAGCACACATAAGGGGGATTACCAACAGACCCCTGGCAGTCTTCAAGCTGGCACTGGACAAGCACCTAAAGGCAGTTCCTGATCAGCCGGGCTGTGGCTCGTACGTTGGTTTGCGTGCAGCCAGCAGCAACAGCCTGGTTGATCAGGCGCTGATCCACCAGGAGGCCTGGTCACAGACCGGGCCGCGGGGGCGTTGACCCCCGAAACTCTCTCCAGGTAAACTCCAGTGCCTACCAGAAAAAACTTACTTATAAAACTTAGCCTAATGTTATGTTTTCAGATTTATTTATTAACCCTTAAACTGTCTCAACGTATTATTATTATTATAATCAAAAAGATGTCTCAACGTAGATCTACGTTCACTAACATAGCATTCCAAATGTAGATCTACGTTGTTTTTACATTCTTATGGGGAAAATCAAGGTCGGAGCGCTACGTGTGCAAACACAGATCTACGTTTGGACAGTTTAAGGGTTAACATAGCTATTTTTTTTAATATAACTGTTTCCATTGCACAGTCCACTCAGTAAAAAGTAATTAGCATAAATCATTCTTAATTTATCACTTAAATAACCAATTTCCATAGAAAGTTTATTCAGGTATACACAAATACATAGATTATCATACATAGCAGCATATGTGGAGACAACCTGGGATAACCCAAAATTTTATGTATTAGTACATAGTAAGTTTATTTAGGCACAGGTATACATTTACCTGGAGAGAGTTCCGGGGGTCAACGCCCCCGCGGCCCGGTCTGTGACCAGTCTCCTGGTGGATCTGAGCCTGATCAACCAGGCTGTTACTGCTGGCTGCACGCAGTCCAACGTACGAGCCACAGCCCGGCTGGTCAGGATAACCCAAAAAAGTCAAAGCGACTTATTTCCATTGGGGTCCTATTTTGTTCATGGAATAGATTACACAGTTATTTATAATGTAAAGTATTAACAGATATCTCTCATACACAAAGAAAACTACCGAATAATTTAAAGAAATATTTCCAGTGCTAAAAAAATATCTGGAGCTCATGGGTCGGCCAACACACTCAGGGACAGGAGTTCAATCTCTTTTTGATGTACGTTAGTGGCTCGGTTGGTAGCGCACTTGGCTCACACACTGAGGTCCGGGGTTCGATCTCCGGTACGGGTGGAAACATTAGGACTTTTCCATAAGACGCCTGCTGTCCCTGTTCACCTAGCAGTAAGTAGGTACCTGGGTGTTAGCGAACTGGTGTGGGTTGCATCCTGGGGACAAAATTAACGTAATTTACAGGAAATACTCAGCATAAGCGGCTTTCTAGTATGTCATTAGTGTCAGCTATGGTCTGTACAAGAACATAAAGAAGGAACACTGCAGCAGGCCTACTGGCCCATGCGAGGCAGGTCCAAGTCTCCTACCGGCTTAAGCCAATGCCCCAACCTAGTCAGGTCACATTCACCCAAGGAACACGGCAACTGACCTACTAGTACAAACTAAACCCTTAAGGGTCATACAGCGCTGCCAGACAATGGCCCCAATGGAAATAAGTCACTTTTTTGGGTTATCCTGAGAAATTTACAAAAATGAAAGACTTGGGCAACATTTTGATATATTTATTATGTTTTCTCCAGCCAGTGACTTCTTCAGTCCTATGTAGAGAAAGGTGTATTTGATGAGTGAGGTAATCAGTCCCTCAGCCTGAATGACCTTGTGGGTTTAGCGCTTTAAGATTATGGCTCCAGAATGAGGGACTGATAACCTCAAACTCCTCCCTCTGTTTTGGACTGAAGATTATTACAATCAAGGGGGAAGCGCTAAACCCGGAGGATTATACAGCGCCTGGGGGGAGGATGTGGAAGGCATTCAGGCTTAATTTGGGGAACTGGAGCACAGATCCAATTCCCTAAATCAAGAGCCCCTCACCAACATCAAGGAACCTTCCTTGAAGGGTTTGGACTGAAGAAGACACTGGCCGGCGAAACTTTTCCTTAATAAAACCTCCCCAAATGTTGTAAAAAGTCTCATTTATCATTTTTTCTGTTAAATCTTTTATTTACAAAAGTTGAGACCAAATATTTACTGGACAGGAGAGAAGAGCCGCTTGTGACGCCAGAAATGTTCAAGCTTAAAAATTTCTTCACTAAATTAATGGCCATTGTTGTGGTTGTGAAGAGTTTGTACGGCCCGAGGACCGTGTGGACCCTTTTTGTACGGCCCGAGGACCGTGTGGACCCTTTTTGTACGGCCCGAGGACCGTGTGGACCCTTTTTGTACGGCCCGAGGACCGTGTGGACCCTTTTTGTACGGCCTGAGGACCGTGGGGAAACCCTTTTTGTAGGGCCAGAGGACCGTGTGGACCCTTTTTGTACGGCCTGAGGACCGTGTGGACCCTTTTTGTACGGCCAGAGGACCGTGTGGACCCTTTTTGTACGGCCTGAGGACCGTGTGGACCCTTTTTGTACGGCCCGAGGACCGTGTGGACCCTTTTTTGAACAATCTGAGGACCGAGTGAACCCTCCACATGGTCCAGTCTAAGGGAAATACAGGTCCATGGAGAGCAGGAACCTTTCATTGCAGTCTATCCTAAAAGCCGTTCTGCAATCCCTTGCTAATTACCTCAGACTCCAAAATATTTTATTTTTTTTTTTAACATTCTTTGGGAGGAGGGAACAGTATATATTTCAGCATTAAGTATACAAGGTAGGGCTTAATCAAATTTATGAATAGAAAAATCAATTTTATTTTTTTACATTAAGAGAAATCCGTAGCATTTACTAATTCAGAGTCTTTTGTTGAAGCTGTAGAGCGGCCTTTATATCCTCTCAGTCCTTCAACAGGGGTGATAATGGTATAGATCCAGTTTATATATTGCATTATATCTGTGATAATAGTAACAGAACCTTCACCACAGACAGGAGAACCAAATGATATAATCCCACTCATGAAGTAATGGTTATTAGCACAGTGTGGTTCATGACAAGCTTGTGGACCAGCTTTGTTATCCAGGGGACACACTACACCACCACCTCCATCACCCTGTAAATTTAAGAAAAAAAAAAAAAAAACCTTGCTGAATTTAGCGTAAACATGAAGGCCTTCTTGGGCATTTATGGGTTTGCGTACATTTACTTAAAATGGACTGTTAAGGAACACATGCAAATTTAACACAAGAACCTGATGAGGTCCCTACCAGACTGGCGGTGGTACATTAGAAGTGACCATTACAAAATCTTAAGAACACAATGAAGGAACACTGCAACAGGCCTACTGACCTATTCAAAGCAAGTTCATTTCCCCCATCCCCCCCAGGATTAGCCCAATGACCCACCTAGCCAGGTCACTTCCACTTCAGGAGCAAGGCATCAGACCTAGTAGGACAAGCTAGTCAGGTCCAACTCACACCCACCCACTCTTGTATTTATCTAACCTATTTTTAAATCTACACAACTTTTTAGCCTAACTATATGTAGTGATACTGGTCCTGTGGGGAGCAGCAGCAGGATAATACTGCACCACCTCTTGGGGCCCTTAACAACAGTTTGGTGTGTGATTCTCTCCTACTATATCCATTTATCAGTGATGCAGATTACATGGCGAGTTTAAATATGTGACCTGTAGTTATAACTTTTCTCTTGACATATGCAAGACATCACCATCCCTGCAGAAGCCATTATTAGATGTACTAGTCATTATATTTTGTTGTTGCAGAAGTACTATGAAGATTCTATGTTCAATAAAGCCTAGAGATAAGGCCTGTGTTTCTATCACAACACTATACTCGGGAGTTTGTTCCACTATCCACAACTATTACCAAACCAGTGCTTTCCTATATCCTTAATCACGAAAAGTAAGACTCCTGTGTATTCAGAGGAGATACAAAGCTTTCAGGGATTGTAGTGTAGGTCATCAGGTTTACCAGAAAGTGTCGGCCTATGTACTTCACAGGAAGTACATAGGCCGTTTCAGACTTTCAAAAACTGACCAATACATACTAAGTTTTTAACCACGTCAGCAAATTTTAGCTAAATAGAGAACATCCATCATCTACCCCGGGAAGGGTGTATACTTGGAGAGGGCTTCAGGGGTCAACGCCCCCGGAGGTAGGGAAAAGTGAATTCATAAAGCTGGATTAAGGAGGCAAGCATCCAGAGTGACTGGCACTCACCCTCTGGAAATACCTAATAAACTTAAGAAACTAGCAAAGGTAACAGGGGCAGGTTTTTAATATTTGTACCTAAATTACAATGGGAACAAAGGTAAAAAATAGGAAAAATTAAAAGATTCTCAAGAGAGAATACGAGAAGAAATGAAAGTTCACAGGATAACTATTTAAATAACTTCCCAAGTACTTACAACACAGGCATCACGTCCGTATCCTCCTATGATGCATTTTTGAGTGCGTTTGTCCAAGGCATAATTATCATCCACTTTATGTAGAGATTTATAGAGCAGTTTCTCGCATTCCTCATCTGAAGTGTAGGTCACTACAGCAGCTTTCAGTACGTTGCTTCCAAAATTAGGCTGGGGAGAAAAAAAAAAATAATACTTCCCCATATTGTGGATTTTAGGCCTACCCCGGTCTAAATCAAGTCCTTCAGATATGTTTTTACCTCGAGTAAATACATTAAATTTTAATGCGCATTATAACCAAGTCAACATAGTATAGGAACAAGGCATTAGAAAGATTTTTAGAATATTTCTGGATACAATTTCTTACCTGATAAACATCATCTCCCCAGCCAACAATGTAACATTTCATATGATTCTCAAATCTGTAGTCCTCTTCTGGTAGACAGATGGGAGAGATGTGTGGAGTTCTGTACGTGTCGACGGGTCTGTCCAGCTGTAGAAGAGCCACGTCGTTCACGTATGTTGCTGGGTTGTATCTGTATAGAAAAATGTTTAGTCCGAGAAATGGTAAAGTGTTTTAAATTATTATTATAATCAAGGGGAAGCGCTATACCCGTTGAATTATACAGCGCCTGGGGATGTGGAAGGCATTCAGGCTTAATTCGGGGAACTGGAGCACAGATCAAATTCCCTAAATCAAGAGCCTCTCACCAACATCAAGGAACCTTCCTTGAAGGGAAACTATTTTAAAGGAAAAGATCTAGTGTTCCAAGAAACTTGAGGCTGGAGAATTTTTCCCCTACAGCATATATCTGGGGGTTCCAGGGGTCAACGCCCCTCCCGACCCGGTCCATGATGACGTACAGTACTTATTAGAACTAATCAAAACCAGTCGGCAAAGCTTTTAATATGGTCAACTGTTCACATAGAACACATTTACAACTTAGTATTTAACCACAAAGTGTTGCAAGTGTTCTATCTACTAGTCTTTTGTACACCATTAATATAATAAGTCTTTAGTACTCACCCACTGTGAATGACTACACTAGAGATGTATCTTTCCACTGCAGGGAACAGCTCTCCTGCTGAGCTGTGAAGATTCCAGTCTCCTAGGTGAGCTTTCAATCTATGTACTTTTATACCTGGAAAAAAAATTAAATGCTTGTTCTGGGAAGGTAAAAAAAAAAAAGTTTGTTGGTTCCAGGCACTGGATTGACAAGTTAGAATATTAGATGGTGGGAGTCCTACCTTGGGGAGGGAAGGCGAGTTCATGCTTAGATCCAATCTTATCCGTCACGTTTATATTAGAAGTATATGGGAGTTCTGAGTGTCTTAGATCACTTCTCTGGGGGGAGGGATTAAATATAAAGCTTAAACTCTATTTGCTAGTCAATTTACTAAGCTACCGTCAGTATCATTAACAGTTCCATCTCAAGGCACTAATATTTCTGCTAGTATAAACTAGCCAAACTTTCTGAAACTTGTGTCAAGTTCCTCACTGCTCCGAACTTAAGTTTTTAGCAGTTCAATATTTGTTAAGTTTGAAGCATCACACGAGGGTCATTAAGGTTTTAATTTCCGAAATTCTTAATTGATTAAAGTTCAATGAACATTTGCAGACATTGGAAAGGGAACAGTTAAAGGGTCCTTTAGGACGGGTGGGAAATTTTCAGCGCGCTCGCAAGAAAAAAATCGAAAAATTATGGAAATTGAGTTATTCGTATAGAAAAATAGTTTAACTCTTTGGCAAAACAAGTCAAATTCAAAATTCAAAAGTTTATTCTCTAAGGATTACAATGCCGAGTTTACAGAAATTTGGTTATTGTGTGGTTTACATGTAGTAAAATTGTGATTACAGAGTGTACCACTAGAACGCTTAGCATGGCTAGCGCATTTCGGGCATAAATGGTACAAGAATCAATGTTCTAAGACGTTTCTACAAGAAATTATAGTCATTTATATCAGGTATGGTGGCGGCGATGTAGGTAGCGCGTCTGTTCTCAACCCATGTATTTTTTGGAATTTTTTTCCTTTTTTTTTTATTGCTTTTTCTTTGCATTATTGTTTCTAATATAATAATTGATTATTTGGCATCATATAAGAGTAGTTGGAGCTTATCAGTAGAGTGCCAGCTAATCGGGAGCCATCTGAGAACACTCGGTAGTACTCCCCCTCCAGATGGTGCCAGGAGAAATCACTTCATTATTACGCTTATATCAGCTTATATATCAACTATACGGTTTATTTATCTATCAGAATTGATCTAATATGATATAAACACAATAAATAACAAACAAACGTGTTATATACTCTAGACTGAATAAAATAGGCCATAATATGGAGAGTCCACCAGCAATATTTCGATATAAATGAGTTACTCCTCATCTCCATGTTGTATTGTTTGGTCTGCGAGCGATAGAAAACTGTTTTGAAGAGGATAACTGCACTAGAACATCAGTTTTCTTAGAAAACTGAAAAAAAAAAAAAAAAAAAAAAAAAAAAAAAAAAAAAAAAAAAAAAAAAACACTATTTTCGCGATTTTTTTTTTTTTTTTTTTTTGGAGACTGCGAGCCGGCCGGCGTTCCAGGCCTATATCTCGGAAGTAACTTTCACTTATTTCGCTGACTTACACCATTATTAATGATTGTGTCGAAATGATTTTCACAGATAATATAAAACAAAGTGTTTGACTAGTTGATGCTTCTTTTTTTTTTTTTGGAATATATCAAATATTTTTGATTTTGTGGGAGGTAAAAGGCAGATATTTTGGTGAATGCCAAAAAGTCTATCAAATGTATTTTTTTCCATGGTAATAAGATAGATGAAACATGTGCATCCAAAATTCGTGTCAGACGTATTCTAACTGTTGGGATTGTCGGAAGTGCCACTCTTAGTGCCATTTTGTCATTCTTGCTGCCATATATGAAAAGTCATTAAATATTTTTTTTCTTTGTTGGTCATACTGAAACTGTCACAATCTTCTACATATAAACCCCTAAACGTACACCAAAAATAAAAAAAATTGGTTGAAAAATAAAAAAACAGTTGGCCGAAATTTTGACCTCCAGCCTTAGTTCAGGCCTACTTTACCACATTATGGTTCCCTGCCAGTTTTACACCCGCCTTCCTACACTCACCTTTGACACAGTGGGCAGCAGTGACCAACATCCCGGGGGTAATTAGAGTGCTTCCACAAATGTACCTTAAAATTTCTCGTGGTTTATCAGATCCAGTGCTGAAATGTCTTTCTTTCACCAGCAATGCAACCTAGAAAAGTTAAATCAAGAGCGACAAAATCTAGATTCAGGACAGGAGTCATCCCAGGTTTTTGACATGCATGCTGCTGTGTATGATGTATATGCTGTGTATGATGTATAACTAAATAAAGTTACTATTGTACCGGCCTAGCCTAATAGGCAAGTCAATTATCTTGCCAGTTTACCTGTTACAGTTTACATTTTAATCTGTATAGTAAAATATTAGTAGAGGACGTAAGGTATAGCCATTTATGGAATCTCAAATTAAAATTCCCCTCAAAATCTACGTCCTGTAGTATAGAATTTAATCATTAAATACTTTCAAACGTATGGTAACATTTACTTACATGCCACGGAAATTCTCCAAAATTAGTGATAACTTTATCGTTTATGAAACCTGAAGATATACGAGTTAATTGTGGAGCCTCGTTTCTGACGCCACATTCCTAGGGAGAAATTCAAGACTTAATTACCTACACAACGCTAGGTCTTTCTGTATTTAATGGCTTCGTGTATGCAAGATTTAATTGCCCAACATATTGTAGCACTTACTTCCTTGTGTCTATAATTTTTCAACACAAATTTAGCGTGTTTTGATAGACTGCCAAAAAGTCTACCATATTCTTCATCATAGAAATCCAGGTACTGTGGTCCAGGCCGACGTCTGGAAAATTAGTTTCAGTAAGAGGACTAATAATGTCCCTTACCCTCTAGAGGTATACATTACTAGTTTAATTTATAGTTTAATATCTATTATGCACCCCATAGCCATCCTGTGGGGGGTGGATAGTTAAAGGATTACAGAGGTACATAATGGGTGCAGGGACTGGACCCTAAAGTTTTGATAGCCGAACAAGGTACAAAGGTAATGAACTCCAGGTAGATCTGGTCACAGTTATGACCAACTTACGAAGGTAGTGAATCGTCTACATTACTACAGCAGTAACAACCTGGTTGATCAGATCCTGATCCACCATGTGGCCTGATCTCAAGCCGAGCCGCGGGGGCGTTGACCCCCTAAGCCCTGTAGGTATACTCCAGCTTAAACTAAAGTACCTTGCTTCATGTAGCTGACCAGGTTCTATATCACGTGGTAGACAACAGATATAGCCTCGGTAGCGATCTCTACCACACGTATATGGATCAAACGCTCTCAAACCTGGGGAAGAAAGTATATCCTAAGACGTATTATAGTGAAAACTAAAATTAAACTCAAGGATCATACAACACTGCTCTGACAATATCAAATATTTTAGTTACCCCACGTACAGCTTATAGACATTAAAAATACCCAACGCGATCAAGAAAGATGGCTTGGCCTTGTGTACATAAAGCTTCCATAATAGCTGGCCAGCCTAAAAAAAATTTTGGTTAATTTTAGCCTGCGTAAGTCATAGTTTTTGGGTTAAACTGGAAAAAATGACTTACGGGAAAAGGGAGGGGGGGTTAAGCCCCCCTAAATTCTTTCCATGGCTCTGCCAGACAACCAGAGTTCTCAACAATACCCAACTTCTTGTGAAAGAGGCCCTTTTAAGGGACAGTATTACCTTCAGCATGACAGACATCACGAGGCACGCAAACCAACTCCCGTGGACACGCCACAGCTCCATGCTGTGGTACTGGCTGTGGTGGAAGCCTCTCACAGCAACACAACACCAACACAGAACCCAGTATTACAACCACCTTGATGTTCTCCATTATTAGGAGCGTTCACCCTCACCGTCGCCACCACACTGACCTCCCCTCACCTCCAGTCACCACCACGCCCCCTTCCTTACTTGTCTTATTACCTTTAAATCTTAGGAAATGGAGCCGCCATTCCTTGGATACAACGAGATTTCTATCCATTTCCCATGTGCTTTATCTTTTCTATAGAACTGATACCTCCTAATGAATATAATTAGGTTTAAAGTCTATCTACTACACAAGGGTCATTAAGGCTGCATATCACTTGTATACCACCAGTCAAGAATACTTGAATACCCAGAGTATATTCACTGGGGTATAAGCACTTTTTGGTATATTTACATGAAGATGTATAACTCGGTGCGTATATACTGAGATATACACATCCTTCGATGTATATACACTGAAAAATGCACTCCTCTCGGTGTATATACACATTTGCATCCTCTGGTGTGTATGTACTGACAAATATACGTGCATCCTTCGGTGTATGTACACTTAGAAAGGAACCTAGTGGCAACCAGTGAAGAGACCGGGCCAGGAGCTATGACTCGACCCCTTCAACCACACATAGTTTTAAGACGAGGTATGATAAAGCTCATGGAGCAGGGAGAGAGAGGACCCAGTAGCGATCAGTGAAGAGGCGGGGCCAGGAGCTATGAATCGACCCCTGCAACCACAATAAGGTGAGTACACACACACACACACACACACACACACACACACACACACACGTGTGTGTGTGTATTGAGAAATACTGTTTCCATGACAACCACACACACTGGCTATACTGAGGGTTCCTCCGTTAGGTAACGTTCATATCTACCTAACATCAATGTACCTAACTCACACCTACGTATATCACATCTCGACACTTCCCTATCTCAGTGTATATTTATAAATCCAGAGAGGTGTGTATACACTTGTTTAATACCTGTATTAAAGTATTCTTGACTGTTGGTGTACAGGTTACATGCAGCTATAATGACCCTCGTGTAGATAGACTTCAAGCCTCATGAACGACCCAATCATAATACTTATATACTGTCTCCAGAAAGGGTTTTTGTGCGAAGATGACTGGACCAGCACCCAGAATACACCTCAGTCGTGCAAGTACTACTGATTCGGACCACCATCACGACGACCACACTCACTACCAACATGACAGGTTGGTTCTCTCTCTTTAAACATTATCTTAGACCCGAGCAGGACTCGAACCTGCGGAATCATCAAAATGCTCAGTAGTATACCACAGCCACGCTCCATAAGAGCCCACTCGACACTAGGCTTAGTTTCCCATACACAGAAGCACCAGGCTTACCTGGAGTATACCTGCAGAAAGTTTCAGGGGTCAACACCCCCGCGGCCCGGTCTGTGACCTGTTTCAATCACGGTATCTCGGTATAATATGTAGTGTAATATATATGGTGTTGTTATGGTGACGTATAATGATGCAGAGGGATATGTAGTTAGGTCTCGTGATTAGTTTCTCTCGTAGCTGACAATTAAAGGCCTCGGGATCGATCCTGGAGTGAGTGGAGGCGTTGGACATATTTCTTTACACCTGGTATCACTTTTGTCCTGTTTCCTGACGAACCTTACCTAACCTAACCTGGTATCACTGTTCACCTAGTATTATGTAGGTACCTGGGTGTTAGTGGACTAGTATGGCTGGCATCCTGGGAAATAAAACCTTAGGACCTTGATGGAAGTAAGTCACACTGCTTGGTTTGCTTGCAGAAAATTTAGATTTTTCCTAAATTCAGCATGTGTAAATTTGAAGATAATAAATATGTATTAAAATGTGATGCTGATTTGACCTTTGAGAAATTTTGTGTGAAGGAGGGTGTGCAGCGTCCGCGGATTGATACGGGGGAGAGGACGCCATAGTGAAACTGAATGTGTGAACACTGATCTGTTAGTTGTGTAAGGTAATCAGGCGTCATCGAAGCTCTCTTGGTGTATTTCGGCCTCAATCCATAATTTATAAATTGCTGAAACGTTCCCGCTGAAGAATTGGGATAAATAGAGTGGAAACCCCTTACAATTCAGCAACAAGGACAGAAAAAATAGAGGACTCCAATTCTTCCCAGCAGTACACCTTAGCTAAGTGATGCTTACCCATAATGTACAGTTGTTTTGTGTTGGCCATCATAAATTCTAGCTGTTAGTGTAGTGTTAGGGTGTCTTCCTGTGACAAATGGTAAATTAATATGTATACAATTTATTGTTCTAATGATATGGTTAGGAGAAAACGTTCCCTAGTCTCTGTAAAAACATTCCCATTAACTATTTCTAAGAGTCAGGTGCTAAAATCATATACAGTCCACATTATAATTTACCAGTATTGGTATTGTTTAATATTGTAATTATTAATTTAACATTAGGTCTAGCTTTATGTGAAAGTGGTGATTTAGTGGTCATCGAGGGAGTGACAGTTCTGCGACATACTGTGACTAAGTCCCACTTACCTCGCCTAAATTACTTGCACGTAAACCTACTGCAGGTAATTTTCTCACACTTTCAATTCAAATTCAATTCAAAGTTTATTCTCTATAAGGATTACAATGCTGAGTTTACAGAATTTAGTTATTGTGTGGTTTGCATGTAGTAAAATAATAATTACAGAGTGTACCACTAGAACACCTAGCATGGCTAGGTATTACAGTGTACCACTAGAACACCTAGCATGGCTAGGTATTACAGAGTGTACCACTAGAACACCTAGCATGGCTAGGTATTACAGAGTGTACCACTAGAACACCTAGCATGGCTAGGCATTTCGGGCAGACTTAGATTAATTCTTAAATTTAAAATATTACAAATTATGAGGTAAGTTGGTATTATGGCAAAGTGACTAAATACTAGTTTGTGAGTTTAGCAATGTGAATGCTTTTGTTTTGGCACAGTACATAGTTTCAGTATTGGAATATCACAGGCCAACTTATGACTAGTTAGGATTCATTATTTTAAGATTGGGTTATTCTGGGTTACTAACCCCACGAGTTAAGAGGTACCTGAGTTTCCCTGTCTCCTAACTTCATGTTTATTTTTCCCCTATAATCTCCCTTGTCCATAATTACTACCGCATTTGCTTTGTCTGCTTTCGTAAGGTGAGGTCTAGGATATTTCCTTAATTCACGAGGACAACTGTATTGCACAGCTCTGAGCTTTGCTCAGACCTGTGGAACTGATATTCCCATCTAAATAAAGTCTTCCTTTTCTTTTTCAGCAGCGTAGGAGCGGCTACTGATGCTGACCTGTGGGCTGCTTTCACCCCAGACCATTTGCTGCTGCTGCGTCAGCATTTTACACCTCCACGGTATGTTAATCACATAGGAGCTATGAATCGACCCCTTCAACCAAATGCAGATGTAATATATACAGACTTTGCAAAAGCCTTCGACAAGTGTGACCATGGTGTAATAGCGCACAAAATGCGTGCTAAAGGAATAACAGGAAAAGTTGGTAGATGGATCTATAATTTCCTCACAAACAGAACACAGAGAGTAGTAGTCAACAGAGTAAAGTCCGAGGCAGCTACGGTGAAAAGCTCTGTTCCACAAGGCACAGTACTGGCTCCCATCTTGTTTCTCATCCTCATATCTGACATAGACAAGGATGTCAGCCACAGCACCGTGTCTTCCTTTGCAGATGACACCCGAATCTGCATGACAGTGTCTTCCATTGCAGACACTGCAAGTCTCCAGGCTGACATCAACCAAATCTTTCAGTGGGCTGCAGAAAACAATATGAAGTTCAACGATGAGAAATTTCAATTACTCAGATATGGTAAACACGAGGAAATTAAATCTTCATCAGAGTACAAAACAAATTCTTGCCACAAAATAGAGCGCAATACCAACGTCAAAGACCTGGGAGTGATCATGTCGGAGGATCTCACCTTCAAGGACCATAACATTGTATCAATCGCATCTGCTAGAAAAATGACAGGATGGATAATGAGAACCTTCAAAACTAGGGATGCCAAGCCCATGATGACACGCTTCAGGTCACTTGTTCTATCTAGGCTGGAACATTGCTGCACACTAACAGCACCTTTCAAGGCAGGTGAAATTGCTGACCTAGAAAATGTACAGAGAACCTTCACGGCGCGCATAACGGAGATAAAACACCTCAATTAATGGGAGCGATTGAGGTTCCTAAACCTGTATTCCCTGGAATGCAGGCGGGAGAGAGACATGATTATATACACCTGGAAAATCCTAGAGGGACTAGTACCGAACTTGCACACGAAAATCACTACGAAAGCAAAAGACTTGGCAGACGATGCAACGTCCCCCCAATGAAAAGCAGGGGTGTCACTAGCACGTTAAGAGACCATACAATAAGTGTCAGGGGCCCGAGACTGTTCAACTGCCTCCCAGCATACATAAGGGGGATTACCAATAGACCCCTGGCAGTCTTCAAGCTGGCACTGGACAAGCACCTAAAGTCGGTTCCTGACCAGCCTGGCTGTGGCTCGTACGTTGGTTTGCGTGCAGCCAGCAGTAACAGCCTGGTTGATCAGGCTCTGATCCACCAGGAGGCCTGGTCACAGACCGGGCCGCGGGGGCGTTGACCCCCGGAACTCTCTCCAGGTAAACTCCAGGTAAACAAATAGGTGAGTACATACACACACACACACACACACACACACATACAAATTCATACACACAAACACACACACACACATACAAATTCATACACACAAACACACACACACACACACACACACACACACACACACACACACACACACACACACACACACACAGGGGACATATCTATAAAAATTGTATAAAGTTCTTTTGTTGAATACAACACGGGTCCCAAAAATCACCAGGCGGCCAAAGAGCACCCAAAGATATTGAGAAACGGCTTTATAGGCCGAAAAGTGTTCGAAAAGACTGAGGAACAGTTTCTGGAGGCCAAAGAGCACCCAAAGATATTGAGAAACGGCTTTATAGGCCGAAAAGTGTTCGAAATGACTGAGGAACAGTTTCTGGAGGCCAGAGAGCACCCAAAGAGATGGGAACCGGACGCTAAAAAGTCCTCGAAGAGACTGGGATAAAGTTCCTAGAGGAACAGTTCCTGGGGCTAGAGAGAACCCAAAGAGATTGTGAAACAGCTTCAGCAGAACTGAAAGTAACGAAGCGACTATCATTATAACAATAAAAAATAGGAAAATAACATGAAGTTAGACGTGACTGTTTTGGAGAGGTATTAATGGTTGTATGGTGTTGAAGGAGGTTCACTGATGATTGTACTGTATTACAGAGGTTGTATTGATGGTTGGGCAGTGTTGAAGGAGGTTCACTGATGACTGTACTGTATTGCAAGGGTTGTATTGATGGCTGGACCGTGTTGAAGGGGGTTCACTAATGGCTGTACTGTATTGCAGGGGTTGTATTGATGGTTGGGCCGTGTTAAAGGGGGTTCACTAATGGTTGTACTGTATTGCAGGGTTGTATGATGGTGCCGTGTGAAGGGGTTCACTAATGGCTGTACGTATAGCAGGTTGTTTGATGGTGACCGTGTAGAAGGGTTCACTAAGGTGACTGTATTGCAGGGCGTTGTTTATGTTGGGCCGGTGAAAGGGTTCACTAATGTGTACTGTAATTGCAGGTTTTGATGGTTGGACACCGTGTTGAAGGGGTTCACATGGTTGTACTGTATTGCAAGGGTTGTATTGATGGCTGGACCGTGTTGAAGGGGGTTCCTAATGGCTGAATCGGGGTTGTATGTGGTTGGGCCGTGTGAAGGGTCACTAAGGTTGTACTGTATTGCAAGGGTTGATTGATGGACTGGACGTGTTGAAGGGGTCACTAATGTTGTAACTGTATTGCAAGGGGATGTATTGAGGTTGGACGTTTGAAGGGGTTACTAGCTGTTCTGGTATGCAGGGTTGTATTGGTTTGGTATGACCGTGTTGAAGGGGTTCACTATGGATTGCACTGTATTAGCAGGGTTGTATTGATGGTTGGGCCGTGTTGAAGGGGTTCACTATATGGTGTACTGTATTGCAGGGTTGTATTGATGGTGGACCGTGTTGAAGGGGGTTCACTAATGGTTGTACTGTATTGCAAGGGTTGTATTGATGGCTGGACCGTGTTGAAGGGGGTTCACTAATGGCTGTACTGTATTGCAGGGGTTGTATTGATGGTTGGGCCGTGTTGAAGGGGGTTCACTAATGGTTGTACTGTATTGCAAGGGTTGTATTGATGGCTGGACCGTGTTGAAGGGGGTTCACTAATGGTTGTACTGTATTGCAGGGGTTGTATTGATGGTTGGACCGTGTTGAAGGTGGTTCACTAATGGCTGTAATGTATTGCAGGGGCTGTATTGATGGTTGGACCGTGTTGAAGGGGGTTTACTAATGGTTGTACGGTGTTGCAGAGGGTGGCCAGGAAGGGCATCACTGAGAGGTACAGACGACGAGGCAGCCATGACCAGACTCTTGACTCGATCTCAGTTCGTGGAGGCAGTCACCAGCATCCTGGGTAAGTGCCCCACGAACAATCTTTGTTTCGTTTTTATTATATGTCCTTTTGACTATATTCAAGGAGGAGTTCCTTGATGTCCATTTAAGGGGCCATTGATCCAAGTAAATGAAGGTACTTTTCCCTTTCCTTGAAGCAGGCCTAACTGCTATTTTCTGTACAGTCTGTTAAGGTACAGGTGCATTACCCACAGCCGCCAGAATAACCCAGAAAAAGTTAGACAAAGTGACTTATTTCCACTGGGGACCCTCAATATCTTAGTTACACCTTGAAAGCTAAAGCAGTTAGGCAACTCAACTGTGTGAAAAAACCATTACAATAAAAGAAATTGGAGTATACTGGGTTTATCACCCTAAGAATCACGGAGGATTCTGGGTTAATAACCCTGAGAATCATGGATTATCTTGGGTTAACGACCCTCAGAATTTTTTCTTCTTCTTAATGCAGGGAGTGACAAATTTGAGGGTGTATGTGGTGCTATCTTCGACACAGTAGTGGCTAGGAGCAGCTCTCCTAGCCTCACCTCTGGTGGGACGACTGTTCCAGCTGGTAACATCAGTAGCAGCAGCAGTAGTAACATCAGCAGTAGCAGCAGCAGTGTAGGGTGAGACATCGGCTCATCTTTTTGCAAATCAAAATGCCTTCCTCTGGTAGGATATATTATAACCATGTAAATAGTTTAGTAGTATTTAAGTTGTTTAGCTATCCTGGACCCATTGTGTACCTCTGTAATGTTGAGGTACAGTCCCTAGACCCATTGTGTACCTCTCTAATGTTGAGGTACAGTCCCTAGACCCATTGTGTACCTCTCTAATGTTGGGGTACAGTCCCTAGACCCATTATGTACCTCTGTAATGTTGAGGTACAGTCCCTAGACCCATTGTGTACCTCTCTAATGTTGGGGTACAGTCCCTAGACCCATTGTGTACCTCTGTAATGTTGAGGTACAGTCCCTAGACCCATTGTGTACCTCTCTAATGTTGAGGTACAGTCCCTAGACCCATTGTGTACCTCTGTAATGTTGAGGTACAGTCCCTAGACCCATTGTGTACCTCTGTAATGTTGAGGTACAGTCCCTGGACCCATCATGTAACTGTAATGTTGAGGTACAGTCCTTGGACCCATTATATGCTTCTGTAATCTTTTAACTGCCGCCCACAGGATGGGTATGGGGTGCATACCTGGAGTTTACCTGGAAATGGTTTCGGGGGTCAACGCCCCCGCGGCCCGGTCTGAGGCCAGGCTTGCATAGTAAAGATATTAAACCAGACTAGGGTAAGAACTTGCCAGTGTTCACGTAACTTGGTAGAGGCGGGTACGTTGTATGATCCGTGAGGGTATGTTACAGGGGCAGTGGTATGGGCATCAGTTGGGCAGGACTGGTGTCATATCTTGGTATGTATGTGGACCTCAGGGTCAGCCAGGCTCCCTCACAACCTATCTTCTACAATCTTACAGGGGCAGTGGTAGTGGTATGGGCATCAGCTGGGCAGGACTGGTATCATATCTTGGTATGTGTGTGGACCTCAGGGGCAGCCAGGCTCCTTCACAACCCATCTTCTCTACAGCTCCTCGCTACAGACTCCTCACCCATAATAAAGTAAGATAAGATTTTCTTCGGATTTTTAACCCCGGAGGGTTAGCCATCCAGGATAACCCAAGAAAGTCAGTGCGTCATCGAGGACTGTCTGTCCATTGGTGTCCTCAATCTTGTCCCCCAGGATGCCACCCACATCAGTCGACTAACACCCGACGGGAATCAAACCCTACTACTACTACTGATAATAATAATAATAATAATAATAAATAATAATAATAATAATAATAATAATTGTAGGCCTCAGCTTTTGTAATGCTGGTTATATGTAATTTTAACATTATTATGAGATGTGTCTTGGACCTCTTGTCCCTTATTTAATTTTTAATTTAAGACAGAATTCTGGTAATTAACAATTTGCAAATTTTTAAATCGGTACAATAAATAACCCAGTCATAATACGATTGTAGAAACCCTATTGGTTAGACTTTTAACATTATTATTTAAAGGGGTGGAGAGGTAAGCCAGTGGAAGGCCTCGGTCAGATGACCAAAAGCTCAAGTTGTGGTCATAACTAAGACCAGCGTCAGGAAACACTTGTAGTGTTTCCTGACAAACCTTACCTAACTTAACCTAGCCGGGTCATCATATAAGACGCACTTCAGGAAACACTTGCACTGTTTCCTGACAAACCTTACCTAACTTAACCTAGCCGGGTCATCATATAAGACGCACTTCAGGAAACACTTGCACTGTTTCCTGACAAACCTAACTTGCCATGGCTTCAAACCCCACCCGTTCCTGTGTTTAATCTCACTAATTACATCTTTGGTACACAGCGTGAAGCCATTGGTGGAGCTGTGGTGTGCAGTAGCCAGAGTGTTATGTTGGTGGGCGCTCGAGGATCACTTACCAAGGTCCAACTCAAGTTAGTACTTATGTGTACAGAAATGATTCAGACAACCGAATTTTGAGGTATTCTGTTGAAGGCCTTACTAGCCTTACTGACCTTCTCTTACTGACCTTGGTGACCTTACTGACCTTACTGACCTTGGTGACCTTACTGACCTTGGTGACCTTACTGACCTTACTGACTTTACTGACCTTGGTAACCTTACTGACCTTGGTGACCTTACTGACCTTGGTGACCTTACTGACCATTGACCTGTGACCTTACGACTTTGGTGACCTTACTGACCTTGGTGACCTTACTGACATTATTGACCTTGGTGACCTTACTGACCTTGGTGACCTTACTGACCTTGGTGACCTTACTGACATTACTGACCTTGGTGACCTTACTGACCTTACTGACCTTGGTGACCTTACTGACCTTACTGACCTTGCTGACCTTACTACCTTGTGACATTATGACCTTGGTGACCTTACTGACCTTATGGATAGACCTTGGTGAGATTATTGACCTTGCTAACCTTGTGACTTATGTAACTATAACAGTATTGTTATGACCTTTCATTGTACTAACTTTAATGACCTTATGGTCTATTACTGACCTTGGTGACACTTCTGATTAGACCTTAGTTGACCTTACTGACCTTGGTGACCTTACTGACATTATTGACCTTGGTGACCTTACTGACCTTGGTGACCTTACTGACCTTACTGACTTTACTGACCTTGGTAACCTTACTGACCTTGGTGACCTTACTGACCTTGGTGACCTTACTGACATTATTGACCTTGGTGACCTTACTGACCTTGGTGACCTTACTGACCTTGGTGACCTTACTGACCTTACTGACCTTACTGACCTTGGTGACCTTACTGACCTTACTGGACTGAGGAAGCCAGTGTGTGGTGAAAGATATTCTACCTTCTCAACTTGTATATATGTATGGATATACAAAGCTAAATGTATATACTTTTCAGTGTGTATAACTTTAATACCCATTATAAGGTTTGAATTAGTCTTGATTGGGGTGAAGTACGACTTCTAGATTAGATTAGTTTATTCAATTATAAAAATAATAATGATAATAATAATAATAATAATAATAATAATAAATAATAATCTTTATTTCTCTACCAGTACATGATGCAACTTATACAGACCATAGCTCACACCTATGACATACTGTATAGAAGGCCCCTTGTTATACGGACAAATTAGGTTAATTTTGTCCCCAGGATGTGACCCACACCAGTCCACTAACACCCAGGTACCTATTTTACTGCTAGGTGAACTTGGACAGCAGGTGTCTTAAGGAAACACGTCCTATTTTTTCACTCGTACCGGGAATCGAACCACGGACACCAGTGTGTGTAATAAGTGCCCCACCAACCCAGCTAGGGGACATCAATCTACACTGACACTCTTATTGTCCTTGATATCAGTTGGTGAAGAGGTGTTGATCTTAGCATATGTGTATGTTTATCTTACTATGTAATTAAAGTTCCTAATATTGGCCATTTCTTCAGTATCGTTAATTTAGAATATAAATCTTAGCTCTATTTAGTGACTTGTGTCCTTGAACATGTTTTAACGTGTATTTTGCATCCGATTCTGTGTCTGGTCTGTGGTGGTCACCGTGGGCGTGGTGTGGGCGTTTTTTGCATGGGCGTGAGACAGTAAGTGGAGGCAACAGCAACATTCTCGCCTCCTGCTGGACTCCTGCCCGGACCAGGAACCTCCAGCACACACTCTACGTAAGGTACGACCCCCAGCCACACTACGTAAGGTACGACCCAGCTACACTACGTAAGGTACGGCCCAGCTACACTAGGTAAGGTACGGCCCAGCCACACTAGGTAAGGTACGGCCCAGCCACTACGTAAGGTACGACCCATACACTAGGTAAGGTACGGCCCAGCTACACTAGGTAAGGTACGCCCAAACTAGAAAGGTACGGCCCAGCTACACTAGGTAAGGTACGACCCCCAGCTACACTAGGTAAGGTACGGCCCAGCTACACCACGTAAGGTACGACCCAGCTACACTACGTAAGGTACGGCCCAGCTACACTAGGTAAGGTACGGCCCAGCTACACTACGTAAGGGAATCCCGGGCCCACCCACACTAGGTAAGGTACGGCCCAGCTACACTAGGTAAGGTACGACCCAGCCACACTAGGTAAGGTACGGCCCAGCTACACTACGTAGGGTACGACCCAGCTACACTAGGTAAGGTACGACCCAGCCACACTTGGTAAGGTACGGCCCAGCTACACTACGTAAGGTACGACCCAGCCACACTAGGTAAGGTACGACCCAGCCACACTAGGTAAGGTACGACCCAGCCACACTAGGTAAGGTACGATCCAGCCACACTAGGTAAGGTACGACCCAGCCACACTTGGTAAGGTACGGCCCAGCTACACTACGTAAGGTACGACCCAGCCACACTAGGTAAGGTACGACCCAGCCACACTAGGTAAGGTACGACCCAGCCACACTAGGTAAGGTACGACCCAGCCACACTACGTAAGGTACGGAAATACGTAAGGTGCGGAAATTTACAATTTATAGATACATACATAGTATATTAAATTAAATATTTATCATGATGTGACTAGGAACAGGATTTTATCTCCAGTCAGGTGACCAGGTGAGTCTTGCAGGTGAGCCTCGGGACGTGGGTGGTGGAGGTGGCTGTGTTGGAGGAAGAGGTGGTGATGGTGGCTGGTTCATCTTCAACATTACACGTGTTGGAGGCTGCCTCGGGGGCGGCCCAAGAGCTGCTACGTGTCACACACCTGCCAGCCATGCCTGCCTGCCTGGCTGCTGGGTACGTACACACAATGATACACATGTAAGTATGTTGCAGTACAATTACAGACTATCCTAGCAATGCAGAACAAGCCACACGGGGATGGAAATCTTGAGATGTAGATCTTTCGCATTCGTGCGTCGTCAGGAGCTATGCAGTATTGCAAGACAGGAGCAGCTGTCTGTAGTTGTCTTGGGGAAATTCTCTGAGAGAAGTCAGAAGGTATCATTGGTAACCCAAGTCACTGTGACATGGGTTACCACAGTGTGTGTGTGTGTGTGTGTGTGTGTGTGCTAGAAGCATGTGTACCAACAGTGTGTGTGTACCAACAGGTGTGTAGGTGAGGAGCGGTGGGTGGCGCTAGGTGACGACAAGGGGTCGGTCCACCTAATCCGCTTCCCTCACCCGGTATCCGAACTGCTCACTCGCTCCCGTAGTGAGGGGCTCACCTCCCTCACCTGGCAGGTAGGTACCCTCTCACCTGGCAGGTAGGTACCCCCCTCACCTGTCAGGCAGGTACTAAAGTTTTCTCTCCAAACTGTTTGCAATTTGTGAATACAATTAACAATAACAGAGTTACCCTTCCCTTGCACTGAAACGAATTGCTTCCCATTCCTTGAGGCCCCGTAGAACCCCTATGGATTTAACGCTCGTATGTTAAACTGTATCCTGGTATGGCAGGAGGTGTGTGGGAGGACTCAGCTGGTGAACGGTCGTATGGTGGAGGTATGTGGCCGAGTTCGGGTAGTTAGCGGAACCGGGGTTCACGGAGCCACCGTCCGCCGGGTTCACTATCACCCGTCCACCTCTACCTTGGTCTCCTGTAGCAGTGATCCCCGGGCCAGCGTGGTCCTCTGGGGCCCAGATCATGCCACCAAGACCTACACTTTTGCCATACCTAGGGTGCGTGTATATATATGCAAATAAACTACGAGGGTAGAAACAAGCTTTTGACCTTTCGGTTCCTGAACCATGTGTGTGTTTTTAATATACCAGGCAGTCCAGGCTGAGGGACTGATTAATGGCGAGATGTCTACAAATATTGATACCCAGATATTGCACATGTCTAATTCTGCATCTTTATTATGTACCCCATACCCATCCTGTGGGTGGTTGTCAAAGGATTACAGAGGTACATGATGGATCCAGGGATGGGCTCCAAAGTTTTGATAGCTGAACAAGGTACAAAGGTAATGAACTCCAGGTAGATCTGGCTGCAATCATGACCAAGTTACAAGGAAATGAACTCAGGTAGATCTGTGTACAGGGTGTGCGGGTGTTCGCTGTGGAGTGGTCGCTACACGTGCTGGTGACGGGTAGTATGGACGGCCGCCTGCGTCTGTGGAACCCCTACGTACCTGAAGCAGCACTGACGGCGCTGCCTCCAGCCCCAGGACGAGCACCGCCAGCAGATCTTCTCATCTCTCCCCACCGTCGTGTTATCATCTCCTGCGACGCTGATGCTGTCAGTACCCACTTTGTTTCACTTGTACCACTCCGTCTTAAACGAAATACTCACTCTGAATTGAACATTCCGTGTTAAATGAATCACTTAATCTTAAATGAACAGCACCGTCCTAAATGAATCACCCCGTCCTAAACAAATCACTCAGTCTTTAACGAATCATTAAATCTGTATTCCAGTGATGCTAACACTCTGCCTTGTATTATATTTAACTAACACACTGGCTTGTGTTCTGTTCCACTAAGGCAAACACTACATTGTGCACTGTTCCACTGTGATTACCACACATCCCTGTTCTATATTTCACTGGCACCAATACTTTATCTTGTGCTCTGTTCCACTGATACGTCTGACATTTTTACAGAAAGGATTACATGCTCTTTACATCCCGACTTTCCACCAAAACATACCATTGAAAACCAGCTTAATTTTTTTTTTCTGTTTTTTTTAATGTCTAATTTTTTGGTTTTCTTTACATTTATAAAAAGAATAAGATATTTAACTTGTAAACTTTGGATAGTTCGGTTTTTGACATTTAAAATTTAAAAAGGGTGGGTTTATGCTCCTAAGGGCCGGTCACAGCCCGGGGCCGGGGGGGCGTTGCCCCCCGGAACTCTTCCGGTAAACTCCAGGTAAACATCACTGATAAAAGAAAACCCAGGTTAGATTTGAGAAAGGAGAATGGCCCTTCATTCCAATTTTTTAAAAGTCACGAACTGTTTCCCAACACCGAAGGAGTTTTGTGTCGTAGCAAATTTGGCTAAAAGGTTGAAAACATTTTTTTCAGGAAAGACTGACGTAATGTCAAGCATTTAAGGTTGTGTGTGATGCGTACGTTTTTTTTTCATGGAGGCAGAGAGATGGGCTGCCTGATTTTGGTATTAGAGCTCTGGGCGAATTGCTCTCCGGGAAAAAAATTGATTACCTCCCTGGGTGTTGTGTGCCTTATAGTCTGGGGTTTTCCCAAAGAATATATTAATGCGAATCGGTTTAATATGATCATTTGTCCCCATCCCCACCCTGTGGGGGTAGTCAGAGTTTTACAGAGGTACTAATGGCCTGGGTGGTCCCCAAAGTTTTGATAGCTGAACAAGTTCAAAGGTAATGAACTCCAGGTAGATCTGGTCACGTCATGACAAGTTGCGAAGGTATTATGCAGGAATTTTGCCTTGTATCCCTTTTCAGTATTTTTATGTTGCATTTATGTGCAGGTTTTGCGTGTTAAGTTGGATGGAGGACAGTGCTTGCAGACGGTGACCTTATTTTTCCCCAGGGGGGTATTGGCCTGCCCCACGACCCCTGATCTCCTACCTAGGGGAAATTTATTGGGGGCTTGCAGGGTTTACAACCACCCTCACCCCCCCGCCAACCCCCAAAACCTCCCTCACAATACCCCTCCTACTTCCTCAACTCGTGGTATGCTTGTGGGAGGGCGAGAGTGGGGAAGGTGACAGCAACGTGATGATCAGAATCTCCCAACACAAGATGAGGAACGCCAATCTTTGAGAATCCCACACTGATGTCATCTCGGAAAGAAGAGAGGACCCGTATGCGAAATCTCGTACGCAGGGTGCTGCCTTTTTCTGTCTTACACCCCAAAAAGATCTCCCCCCCCTCTCTTTTCCCCAGACCTCCCTTACCCCCTCGTTTGGCCGCCATGGGGCTCACGGCCAGCAAAACCCCGGCTCTGCTGGTCACTTTCCCTCCCAGGGTAAACAATGCTCTAAAAATTTGGTCTCCGCCCCTTCTCAACCAAGATGCCTCACACAAACCCCCGCTACACCCCACGATCTGCTTTCAAATCCCCAGACCAAGTCCGGGAGGCACCGGGCGCCCGAGGCCACTCCTGCAGTGGCAATATCGTCATCTCGCCCCGGGCGCCACAAGGGCCAAAAAAATTGATGTGGTTTTTAATTTTAAAAGTAGGATCAGAGTGCGGGAGAAAAACCCTGCAACACAGGTGTCCCCAAGATTTTTAAATTATACCATGAATTAAGGAAATAAGTTAATTAAAGCGGGGGGAAAGAGTGCCTTTAAGAACCAGCATGAGTTTCTTCTTCAAAGTTGAATGAAAACACTAGATAACTTCCTTCTTTAAAGTTATAATCACTAAAAAAAAATTAACGATGCAGCCATTATGTTGAAGCAATTCAGCTTAGGGTTTGGGATTCATGGGCTGTGAGGCAGCAGTTGGGTCCAGTCCTTGGACCCATTATGTACCTTTGTAATTTTTGACTACCGCCCCATGATGGGTAGGGGCTTTAAAAAATATTTTAAATTACTGGAGGCAGCAGTCCATACAGCATGGTTAGTGCCCAAACGGTAACACGATTGCAACGAACCCCGAAATGGGGGGTTTTTAAACCCAAAAGGCCTAACCCCCCCCGGCCCCTGCCTACAATAAGAATTTCAGAAGCCGGGGGCTTCCCCCGCTTTGTTTAAGTTATTTTTTATGTTTATTTTGCAACCCCCTACCCTCCTGTGGGCGGTAGTAAAAAGTTACGAGGTACAAATTGGTCCAGGACTGGACCAAAGTTTTGATAGCGAGCGTTCAGAGGTAATGAACTACAATTTACAAAGTAAAAACTCACAATTTACAAAGTAATGAACTCACAATTTACAAAGGTTGAACCCCCGGGTAAGTCTGGTCACAATCGAAAATTTTAAAGGTTTTTAAAAGCCTGGTTTTTTACGCTCGTTGCCATGGGTTAAACCCCCACCCGTTCCGGGGGTTTTTTTGCAACCTTTGTTTCAAAATTTTTGATCTCCCCCAAGGAGGGTGATCCAAAAAAGAAAACCTTTCTCCCATATTTCACTCTATCCAGTCTTGCCAGAGGGGGCTTTAACTACATTTAAAAAAAAACGGAACTTTAAAAACACCCCTCCTTCAGAGGTAACACTGTACTTCCCATCCCCAGGCTCAAGCCCTGGAGAGGGGTCCCTTAAAAAAAATGTTCCCCTGCTGACACTAAAACAGACGTCAAGCTTAAAAACCTTTTGTTCATTCCCCAAAGGACCCCAATGGAAAAAAGTCATCTGTCTGTTTTTTTTGGGGTTATCCTGGTTCCTACACTAGCTGCTAGAGGGAAATTCTATGTAACTGATTTGTGTTTACCTGAATAAACTTATTTACTTACTTATTTACTTATTCGTCCTAACACGCTCACGCATGCTAGAAATCCAAAGCCCCCCCACACAAAACCTTTACCCCCCTTTCCAACCTTTCCTAGCTCAGGTATTGTGCTTTTTTTTTTTTCTCAACCATGTGAGTGTCAACAGAGTGGCTTTTTAATTTGGGGTTCATTACCTTTTTTAAATTGTGAATTCATTACCTCTGTAACTTGCTCACAAACAAAACTTTTGGAGTCCAGTCCCGGACCCCTTTGTACCCCTGTAATCTTTTTTGACTTTAGGCCAACAGGGGTTAAGTAAAGGGTCATTTAAATTTATTAACCTTTTAAAGGGGGGTTCTTCCCTTCTCTCAGCATCAAAATTTGGGTCCGTCCTGGAAACCCAAAGTCCCCTTGAATTTTTCACCGCAACAGGTGGTTTCTACCCCCAAGGGGATTCAGCCCACGGATGGGGTTGGGGAATACCCCCAAAGGGGAAATAAAATGGGGGGGGAATCCCCCCCGGGGGTATTAACCCCCACAAGGGGATTCAAAATCAAAAAAAGGCCCCCCTCCTAACCGGGGAAGGGAAAGTCCCTTGTTTAAAAAGCCCGAAGCATTTTTTTTTCCCGTAAATTAGGTTTTTTTAAAAAAAAATTTTTTTGGGTTTTCCCCAAGGGTTGCCCACCCACCAAAAAATCCCACTAACCCAAAACCCCCGGTTGGCCCCCACACAAAACCCCGGTCCCCCCCCCCCTAAACCCAGGGTGCCATCCACCCAGTCCATAACACCAGGATGCCCCCCACACCAGTCCCCTAAACCCCGGAGCCATCCACACCAGTCCCCCAACACCCCGGATACCACCCACACCAGTCCACAAAACCCCGGTACGACCCACCCAGTCCCCAAAACCCAGGATCCCACCCACCCAGCCCATTAACCCCCCAGGATCCCACCCACCCCCCACTACACCCGGGGTTACGACCCACCCCAGTCAACTAAACCCCCAGGACCCCACCCCCCAGTCCACTAACACCCAGGACAAATTTTACTAGGGTAAAAAATGGAAAACGGTTTCCTTATGGAAACATCCCCTAATATTTTCCCAGCCGTAGGGGGGAATCGATTCCGGGTAAATTAAGAAAGGGCCCAACTTGGGTATTTTTATTGAGGGATCCCTCCAAGATACGATATACGTGCCGAAAGCCTTTCACACTATACCATTCATTTTAATACCATACCTCACCATCTATCGTGCTTGGGGTTCAACTGCAGCAACAAAACCCTAAAGCCAAAATAACCAACAAAAAGTGGGATAAGAATAACCTAATCCCATCCCTGGCAAACACCCCCCCACTCTTCAAGATCTAAACTTACCCCCGTTCATACCCACACTTACTTCTGGCAATCTACATCTACAGGGCCTTAAATTCCAAAATTTCCTTACCCAAACGCTTTCTTGTAGTTGTGACAGAACCCACAACCCTACCAGACAAAAACTCTCTTTTACTTCCCCCTGTCCGACTAAAACCTTCACAAAAATTCAAAGTATGTCAAAGGCCCCAAAATCTGAAAACCCAACCCGGACTCTAGAACTGAGACACTTTTTCACTTCAAAAACCATCAGAAAAACTTATCTCCGTTCACCCCTTTAACTAATAATCAAAACCACCCGGTGGTTCACACTTTCATCACTCACCCATTTGCCTAAAAGAAATATCAATTCAATCTCAATCTAATTCAATCTCAAACTGATTCTATGTCTTTATTGAAGGCTCTTGGCTATTAATGACCCAAAACATGCTCATTGGGGGAAACCAGGTTTTAGATCTCAAAAAATTTGGGGCAAAGGATTAAGTACAATTGCTTGGATCCCATCACACATTGGATTATCCTTTATGATAAAGTTATATGTTAGCCCAAGAAGAGATCCCGAAGGGGAATGTAGAATATAAATTTGGTTTTTGTGTCACTTAGGAATAATATTAGTAGAGAAGTAAATAATGAAAATGATTGTTATAGGAATGCAGTTAGAAGCCTGAGTAGATCTATAACCCACTAGGATAACATGAACGTAGATAAGTATGTTTATGGAGCAACTTGCAATGTGAACAGACTGACTGATGTTGTAGTCCCCAGGCTTAGGCTTGGTTACAAGTACTGACTGATGTTGTAGTGGCCAGACTTAGGCTTGGTTACAAGTACTGACTGATGTTGTAGTGGCCAGACTTAGGCTTGGTTACAAGTACTGACTGATGTTGTAGTGGCCAGGCTTAGGCTTGGTTACAGGTACTGACTGATGTTGTAGTGGCCAGGCTTAGGCTTGGTTACAGGTACTGACTGGTGTTGTAGTGGCCAGACTTAGGCTTGGTTACAAGTACTTCTGGCAGTTTGGGAGACACACAGATGATGATCAAACTAAATGTAAATTATGTGATCAGGCATATGGTCACTCTCTTGAACACTATGTGCTTAATTGTCCACTTATTGAGGAATACAGAGACAGACAGTATAATAACCTATGTGACATGTCAAGATATCTTATTAATGAAAATAAGATACCAGATATACTAAGCAAATTTCCTAAATTTGCTTGTAACAGATAAGTGAACTATAGATATGTAGATATAAATCCATATGTATTCCTGTTAACCCTTTGGGGCCTAGTTCCTAGGCCTTTTGTGTATCCATATGCTCTCGCGCTACCGTCCACAGGATGGTTATGAGGTGCACAATAAACTAGCCACTTCGGTGGCAAAATCTAATCTAATCTCAATCTCAAAATAATGAATCTTAACTAGTCATAAGTTGGCCTGTGATACTCCAATACTGAAACTATGCTAAACTCACAACTAGTATTTAGTCACTTAGTCATAATACCAACTTATCTCATAATTTTGTAACATTTTAAACCTAAGATTTAATGTAAGTCTGCCCGAAATGCCTAGCCATGCTAGGTGTTCTAGTGGTACATTCTGTAATACCTAGCCATGCTAGGTGTTCTAGTGGTACACTCTGTAATACCTAGCCATGCTAGGTGTTCTAGTGGTACACTCTGTAATACCTAGCCATGCTAGGTGTTCTAGTGGTACACTCTGTAATACCTAGCCATTGCTAGGTTGTTCTAGTGGTACACTCTGAATACCTAGCATGCTAGGTGTTCTAGTGGTACACTCTGTAATACCTAGCCATGCTAGGTGTTCTAGTGGTACACTCTGTAATACCTAGCCATGCTAGGTGTTCTAGTGGTACACTCTGTAATTATTATTTTACCATATGTAAACCACACAATAACCAAATTCTGTAAACTCAGCATTGTAATACTTATAGAGAATAAACTTTGAATTGAATTTGAGGTGACGTTTCACCACACAGTGGCTTCATCAGTCCATACAGAGAAGAATGGTGAAGATCAGGAGTTCGAGGCAATCAGTCCTTCAGCATGTTATTATTCCATCAATCTTGAAGGTTCTATAAGGGTTATGTAGAAGGTTCTTAAGGGTTATGTAGAAGGTTCTTAAGGGTTATGTAGAAGGTTCTTAAGGGTTATGTAGAAGGTTCTTAAGGGTTATGTAGAAGGTTCTTAAGGGTTATATAGAAGGTTCTTAAGGGTTATATAGAAGCTTCTTAAGGGTTATATAGAAGGTTCTATAAGGGTTATATAGAAGGTTCTATAAGGGTTATATAGAAGGTTCTATAAGGGTTATATAGAAGGTTCTATAAGGTTATATAGAAGGTTCTATAAGGTTATATAGAAGGTTCTATAAGGGTTATATAGAAGTTCTATAAGGTTATATAGAAGGTTCTATAAGGGTTATATAGAAGGTTCTTAAGGGTTATATAGAAGGTTCTTAAGGGTTATATAGAAGGTTCTATAAGGGTTATATAGAAGGTTCTATAAGGTTATATAGAAGGTTCTATAAGGGTTATATAGAAGGTTCTATAAGGGTTATATAGAAGGTTCTATAAGGGTTATATAGAAGGTTCTATAAGGGTTATATAGAAGGTTCTATAAGGGTTATATAGAAGGTTCTATAAGGGTTATATAGAAGGTTCTATAAGGGTTATATAGAAGGTTCTTAAGGGTTATGTAGAAGGTTCTTAAGGGTTATATAGAAGGTTCTTAAGGGTTATATAGAAGGTTCTATAAGGGTTATATAGAAGGTTCTATAAGGGTTATATAGAAGGTTCTATAAGGGTTATATAGAAGGTTCTAAAGGGTTATATAGAAGGTTCTATAAGGTTATATAGAAGGTTCTATAAAGAGTTATATAGAAGGTTCTTAAGGGTATATATAGAAGGTTCTATAAGGGTATATAGAAGGTTCTATAAGGGTTATATAGAAGGTTCTATAAAGGTTATATAGAAGGTTCTATAAGGGTTATATAGAAGGTTCTATAAGGGTTATATAGAAGGTTCTATAAGGGTTATATAGAAGGTTCTATAAGGGTTATATAGAAGGTTCTATAAGGGTATATAGAAGGTTCTATCAGGGTTATATAGAAGGTTCTATAAGGTTATATAGAAGGTTCTATAAGGGTTATATAGAAGGTTCTATAAGGGTTATATAGAAGGTTCTTAAGGGTTATATAGAAGGTTCTTAAGGGTTATATAGAAGGTTCTATAAGGGTTATATAGAAGGTTCTATAAGGGTTATATAGAAGGTTCTATAAGGGTTATATAGAAGGTTCTATCAGGGTTATATAGAAGGTTCTATAATGGTTATATAGAAGGTTCTATAAGGGTTATATAGAAGGTTCTATAAGGGTTAAATAGAAGGTTCTATAAGGGTAATATAGAAGGTTCTACAAGGATAATATAGAAGGTTCTACAAGGATAATATAGAAGGTTCTACAAGGTTAATATAGAAGGTTCTACAAGGTTAATATAGAAGGTTCTACAAGGTTAATATAGAAGGTTCTACAAGGTTAATATAGAAGGTTCTACAAGGTTAATATAGAAGGTTCTACAAGGTTAATTAGAAGGTTCTACAAGGTTAATATAGAAGGTTCTACAAGGTTAATATGAAGGTTCTACAAGGTTAATATAGAAGGTTCTACAAGGTTAATATAGAAGGTTCTACAAGGTTAATATAGAAGGTTCTACAAGGATAAATATAGAAGGTTCTACAAGGTTAATATAGAAGGTTCTACAAGGTTAATATAGAAGGTTCTACAAGGTTAATATAGAAGGTTCTACAAGGTTAATATAGAAGGTTCTACAAGGTTAATATAGAAGGTTCTACAAGGATAATATAGAAGGTTCTACAAGGTTAATATAGAAGGTTCTACAAGGTTAATATAGAAGGTTCTACAAGGTTAATATAGAAGGTTCTACAAGGTTAATATAGAAGGTTCTACAAGGTTAATATAGAAGGTTCTACAAGGTTAATATAGAAGGTTCTACAAGGTTAATATAGAAGGTTCTAAAAGGTTAATATAGAAGTTCTACAAGGTTAATATAGGTTCTACAAGGTTAATATAGAAGGTTCTACAAGGTAATATAGAAGGTTCTACAAGGTTAATATAGAAGTTCTACAAGGTTAATATAGAAGGTTCTACAAGGTTAATATAGAAGGTTCTACAAGGTTAATATAGAAGGTTCTACAAGGATAATATAGAAGGTTCTACAAGGTTAATATAGAAGGTTCTACAAGGTTAATATAGAAGGTTCTACAAGGTTAATATAGAAGGTTCTACAAGGTTAATATAGAAGGTTCTACAAGGTTAATATAGAAGGTTCTACAAGGTTAATATAGGTTCTACAAGGTTAATATAGAAGGTTCTACAAGGATAATATAGAAGGTTCTACAAGGTTAATATAGAAGGTTCTACAAGGTTAATATAGAAGGTTCTACAAGGTTAATATAGAAGGTTCTACAAGGTTAATATAGAAGGTTCTACAAGGATAATATAGAAGGTTCTACAAGGTTAATATAGAAGGTTCTACAAGGTTAATATAGAAGGTTCTACAAGGATAATATAGAAGGTTCTACAAGGTTAATATAGAAGGTTCTACAAGGTTAATATAGAAGGTTCTACAAGGTAATATAGAAGGTTCTACAAGGTTAATATAGAAGGTTCTACAAGGTTAATATAGAAGGTTCTACAAGGTTAATATAGAAGGTTCTACAAGGTTAATATAGAAGGTTCTACAAGGTTAATATAGAAGGTTCTACAAGGTTAATATAGAAGGTTCTACAAGGTTAATATATAAGGTTCTACAAGGTTAATATAGAAGGTTCTACAAGGATAATATAGAAGGTTCTACAAGGTTAATATAGAAGGTTCTACAAGGTTAATATAGAAGGTTCTACAAGGATAATATAGAAGGTTCTACAAGGTTAATATAGAAGGTTCTACAAGGTTAATATAGAAGGTTCTACAAGGTTAATATAGAAGGTTCTACAAGGTTAATATAGAAGGTTCTACAAGGTTAATATAGTAGGTTCTACAAGGTTAATATAGAAGGTTCTACAAGGTTAATATAGAAGGTTCTACAAGGTTAATATAGAAGGTTCTACAAGGTTAATATAGAAGGTTCTACAAGGTTAATATAGAAGGTTCTACAAGGTTAATATAGAAGGTTCTACAAGGTTAATATAGAAGGTTCTACAAGGTTAATATAGAAGGTTCTACATGGTTAATATAGAAGGTTCTACAAGGTTAATATAGAAGGTTCTACAAGGTTAATATAGAAGGTTCTACAAGGTTAATATAGAAGGTTCTACAAGGTTCTAGCCGCTACTTCAGGTTTGGGTTGGACAAAACTCACTCACAAACACATAACTCTTCACAAAAATTAACACACACACTTTACAAGATAAAAATAACTCCTCTATACATTTCCATTTTCTGACATATACAAAACGAGATAAACATCAGGTAAAAGAGACATAATGGCTGAATATAAGGAGTAAATATAGTGAGGGAGTGAGTAATGGCGAGAATATTGGAACTTGTGGCCGGGAAGGAGACACTAGACGTTATGGCTGCTATTAAGACGTTAAATCCTAAAGCAGAGGTGGCTAGGGCTGCCCAGGCTCTGGCTATTAATATTTCCGGTGCCAGGGGCATCCAGGACGTGTTGAGGACCAACTTGGGGCCTAAAGGAACCATGAAAATGTGAGTTTAATGTTCACGTGTCTTGGTAACAGTCTTGTGTCATCTGACATGCGGGTTTATGGCTCTCTTTTCCCTCATCCAGGAACGGCTCTTGATCTGGGGAATTGGAACTGTGCTCCAGTTCCCTGGATTAAGCTTTAATACATTCCATTCCCCCCCACAACACAGGCGCTGTATAATCATACGGGTTTAGCGCTTCCCCGTGATGATAATAGCTTTGTTTTGTGGGTTTATCCTCGGTGGTGGGGTCTTGGGGCCAGGTTGACGGGTTTTTGATCCAAGGGAATTGGATCTCTTCTCCCCTTATCAATGATGACTCATTAACTAGGTGCTGCAATGACCCCTATGAGTTTAGCGCTTCACTAATAATAATTAGTACTACTACTACTAATAATAAGTAATACTACTAATTACTATTAATTACTACTATTAATTACTACTACTACTACTAATTATTAATACTAATTAATATTTCTACTATTGATAATAAGTGTTAATACTACTAATAATAATATAAATTAATGATATGCCATCTAAAATTCCCTAATTTTATTTTAGCCAGATAATTGTATTTAGGCAGAGATACACATAATTATAATTATTATACATAGTGTAAATTACCCTCCAGATAACCCAAAAAAATGGTCTGAGGTGACTAATTTCCATTAAGTTTCTTGTATTTGTCTTTATTATCCACCTGCGGTTCACAAGACTGGCATCCACGAGCCCCTTTGAGGCGGTGCGGAGGCCTAGCTTCTCCCTGCGGGCCCTGTGAGGGCGGGGACAGTGGCTAGGCCTGGGGACACTGGGACGGTGGCTAGGCCTGGGGACACTGGGACGGTGGCTAGGCCTGGGGACACTGGGACGGTGGCTAGGCCTGGGGACACTGGGACGGTGGCTAGGCCTGGGGACACTGGGACGGTGGCTAGGCCTGGGGACATGGACTGTGGCTAGGCCTGGGGACACTGGGACTGTGGCTAGACCTGGGGACATGGGGACTGTGGCTAGACCTGGGGACACTGGGACTGTGGCTAGGCCTGGGGACATGGGGACTGTGGCTAGGCCTGGGGACATGGGGACTGTGGCTAGGCCTGGGGACATGGGGACTGTGGCTAGGCCTGGGGACACTTGGTCCCAAAGATGAGGGGGTACTTGTACCTCCTCCCATGGGAGACTTAGGTCTCGAGATACTCCCCAGATAGGGAGCCAAGGCCGGGTCACCGCTTCTTGGAAAAGACCCGGGCCGGGAGAGTACCGGCGAATAAAAAAAAAAGAAAAATTATTCTTAAAATCTCCGCTGTCTTTTGTATAAATATTCACGTTTTCATTTTATTCACTAATGGTTATTGGGTGTGGTTCGTACATTGGATTACGTGCGGCCAGCGGTAACAGCCTGGTTAATCAGGCCCTGATCCACCATGAAGCCAGGTCACAGACCGGGCCGCGGGGGTGTCGAACCCCGGAACACATTCCAGGTACTCCAGGTTAATTCGGAAAGGAACAAGGTTCAGCGTTTATATAATTACCTTCGACCTTTCAAGAATTTCGAGTTTCACTACTCGCGGAGACCGGCCATGGGCCAGGCTCATCTGGTGCTAGCCTGGTCAACCAGGCTGTTGCTACTGGAGGGTCTCTGCCCCACATATCCATCACAGCCTGGTTGATATAGCACCCGAAGTATACTTGGAGAGGTTTTCAGGGGTCAATACCCCCGTGGACTGGTCTGTGACAAAGCCTCATGGTGGATCAGGCCCTGATCAACCAGGCTGTTACTGTTAGCTGCACGTAACCCGAAAAGGGAACCACAGCCCGGCTGGTCAGATACTGGCTAAAGGTGCCTGTCCAGTGCCTTCTTAAAGACAGCCAGGAGTCTATTGGTAATCCCCCTTATGTATGCTAGGAGGCATACAGCAAAACGGTTCTCTCAGGGGCCCAAGATTGTTCAACTGCCTCCCAGCATACATAATCGGGATTACAAATAGACCCCTGGCTGTCTTCAAGAAGGCACTGGACAGGCACCCTTCAATCAGTACCTGACCAGCCAGCCTGTGGTTCATACGTTGGTTTATGTGCAGCCAGCAGTAACAGCCTGGTTGATCAGGTCCTGATCCACCATGAGGCCTGGTCACAGTCCAGCCCATGGGGGCGTTGACCCCCAAAACCCTCTCCAGGTATACTCCAGGTATACCACAATTATTTCTGGCAACCCCTTCATCCCCCTCCATTAACCCATTAAATCAAAAGTCTACTGTAAAATCAGCGATAAGTAAGGTAATGGATTTTTATTCATTACAGGCTGGTGTCTGGTGCTGGCGATATCAAAATTACCAAAGACGGCAATATTTTACTCCATGAAATGGTATGTTTGGTTGAATGTGGATAAGTGTAACATGCACTGCTTTAGTCTTGATTAACCCTTAAACTGTCCAAATGTAGATCTACGTTCAGAGTGCTAGTGGTGCAAACGTAGACCTACGTTCGTAGAGCTAGCGGTGCAAATGTAGATCTACGTTTGGAGCACTAGCGGTGCAAACGTAGATCTACGTTTGTAGCGCTAGCGGTGCAAATGTAGATCTATGTTTGGAGCACTAGCGGTGCAAATGTAGATCTATGTTTGAAGCGTTAGCGGTGCAAATGTAGATCTACGTTCGTAGCGCTAGTGTTGCAAACATAGATCTACGTTCGTAGTGCTAGTGTTGCAAACGTAGATCTATGTTCGGACAGCTAGTGTTGCAAACGTAGATCTACGTTCGGACAGCTAGTGTTGCAAACGTAGATCTACGTTCGTAGTGCTAGTGTTGCAAACGTAGATCTACGTTCGTAGTGCTAGTGTTGCAAACGTAGATCTACGTTCGGACAGCTAGTGTTGCAAACGTAGATCTATAGTGTTGCAAACGTAGATCTACGTTCGGACAGTTTAAGGGTTAATGAGCCATAAGTAAACATATTTCCATTTAAAAAATTTGATTCGTTGAAACCTCTTTTTTTTTTTTTTTTTTTTTTTTTTTAAATCTTGAACCCAGGTATGTCCATATAACATTTACTGTATAGTATTTAAAAAACGATTAACGACACAGATTCATGATAAAAACAAATTTAAAATGAAAGTAAAGAAGCTCCCAAACTCAACACGATAGAAGTAATTTTTGCTAAATATTGTAATGGATTTATTAAAGTGTCTAGAGTAAATAGTGCTGTACAATAATTTTTTCATGGTTTAATTAGATTTTGTTCTGGTTTCCAGCCTCTTTTTGTGACATTTCTTTCAAAGGCATTTTCAGATATTTTAATTGTAGTACATGTATTTCAAAAACATGCCTTAAATCATATGTAATTGCATATATTGGGGATACAGGAGGGGTCAGTAGTACTCAGAGATGCTGTGGGGCTCCTATTTTAAAATTTAATAACTTATTGCCAGACAAATTGGGATATAAGACCATGGATGCCATTAGATCACTCAAACTATCTAGTTATCAAGTATGTATTGAGGTTAAATATTACCGTGTTAGGTGAAAGGACACGTGCAACTAATGTGACTTTTTATTGTGGCAACGTTTCTCTCTCCAGGAGCTTTATCGATAAAGCTCCTGGAGAGTGAAATGTTGCCACAATAAAATGTCACATTAGTTGCACTTGTGTCCTTTTACCTGACATATTCGGTAATTCTACCAACATTCATACATATATTAATGTGGTATAGATCACTGGTTAAAATTTATCAAATGGATAGTATTATTAAACATGAATTTCCTGCACAGATGTTTTTTGAGAAGAAATTAAAATTCCCATTCTTGTAACTATATGAAGCATATCTTACAGCAAATACAACACCCAACGGCCAGCATGATTGCCAAGGCTTGCACAGCACAAGATGACATAGTCGGTGATGGCACCACCTCGACCGTACTTCTAATTGGCGAGATGCTCAAACAGGCAGACATTCAAATTCAAGATGGTCTGCATCCAAGACTTATTGCAGAGGGCTTTGATTTTGCCAAGGTTTGTATAGCAACAAGTGTTGAAACAAAGGTATCCAGTATTATTAAATTTATATTATTTACAAACTATTATAAACCTCATTTCATTTATGACACATGTTTACTAGTGTGTAGCATGTTTTTCCTGTGTTCACGTATACTGTACAGTGGACCCCCGCATAACGATCACCTCCGAATGCGACCAATTATGTAAGTGTATTTATGTAAGTGCGTTTGTACGTGTATGTTTGGGGGTCTGAAATGGACTAATCTACTTCACAATATTTCTTATGGGAACAAATTCGGTCAGTACTGGCACCTGAACATACTTCTGGAGTGAAAAAATATCGTTAACCGGGGGTCCACTGTGTATGTACATATGTCGAACTTACGTACAAATGGACTTCCGAATGACCACTCGGAACCAACCTGTTCGTAAATAGAGGAGTGACTGTAATCAAATAGCAGAGCAGTGTCTGATACTATATGTCTATCCCATTGTTTTTTTCACTTGTAGGTGAAAGCTCAAGAGGTACTTGATAAGGTCAAGATCACTGAAGAGATGAGTCGTGAGCGTTTGTGTCAGGTTGCACGTACCGCCCTTCGCACAAAAGTTCACTCGGAATTGGCCGACAAGCTGACAGAGGTTTGCGTTGATGCAGTGCTAGCCATTAAGGAGGACCAAAAACCACTGGACTTGCATATGGTGGAGATTGCTGAAATGCAGGTTAGTGTTTGTTAGGGGTGAGATTGTAATAAAGTTGGTAGAATTACCGACAATATGTAAATTAAAAGGACACAAGTGCAACTAATGTGACATTTATTGTGGCAACGTTTCGCTCTCCAGGAGCTTTATCAAGCCATTACAAACAATACATGGCTTGATAAAGCTCCTGGAGAGCGAAACGTTGCCACAATAAATGTCACATTAGTTGCACTTGTGTCCTTTTAATTACATAGGGGTGAGATGCCAAACAGGTTAATGCGGAATACTGTACTGTATTATGGGTTGCAGACTGTTTCCCATATTCATTATTACAGAATATAGCTAGTATTTTTGTGCTCTTTTTAATATTTAATATTGCAATGTTAGTATGGGAGCACAGTATTATCCATGAAGGTATTCAGAGCAACTGATTAGTCAGACTGTACTTCTGTAGGTAGGATGTAGGATGCCTGCACTTTGAAGGATGGTAAATAAGACTTGTGCAACATTGGGGCATCTCTTTTTTGGAAATGTTTCACCAGCCCATGGCTTCTTTAGTCCACAGCAGAGAAAGGTGAGAGACGAGGTGGTGTTGACGTAATGGGTCCCTCAGCCTGGAGTTGGAGTGTTCAGGCCATCTATCTTGATGGCCTTGGCCACCTCCGGGAAAATAAATAAGAGGCAGATTTTATTCCATTAATGACCTTTTCTTTTATTCTCTCTCTCAGTAGCCACTTTTCTTAGGTGCCATTAATTAAATTTTAAAAATCAGCTGATATTTTAATCCCCATGTACAGCAATAAAGTTAATGCAATTAAACATAACAATACCTCCTTGAATCTGCATATTGAATCGTGTGTGCATATTTTTCACAAAAGCAGATAGTTCTGTCATTTGTGTTCCATGTTCATCTGATTTCCTACCTCAGATTTTGTCTTGTATTGGTAATTGAGAATAAACTTTTGGTCCATACTGTGGCTTAAGATGCAATTGCATTTTGTGGGAAAATGTAAGCCAAATTATATTTGCTTTTACATTGATTTATATTAGCTAAAAATTGAGGTATGTCAGAATATCCTTGAAGCCACACTGATCCTTAAAACAATTGCAGCACAAGACAGAATTGGACACCCAGTTAGTAAAAGGTCTAGTGCTAGACCATGGTGGACGTCATCCAGATATGCCGAAACGTGCCACAAATGCTTACATTCTCACCTGCAATGTTTCCATGGAATATGAGAAGACTGAGGTCACTTCTGGTTTCTTCTACAAGTCTGCAGCTGAAAGAGAAAAACTTGTAACAGCAGAAAGAGAATTCATTGAAAACAGGTAGTGTGTGTGTGTGTGTGTGTGTGTGTGTGTGTGTGTGTGTGTGTGTGTGTGTACTCACCTCACCTAATTGGTGAGGTGTGTGTTTGTGTGTGTGTGTGTGTGTGTGTGTGTGTGTGTGTGTGTGTGTGTGTGCGTGTGCGCTCGCATGTGTGCGTGCATGCGTGTGTGTGTGCGCGTGCGTGTGAGTGTGTGCGCCTGTGTGTGCGCGTGCGTGCGCGTACGTACGTACATATGTACTCGTATATATGTAGTTGCCAGGGTTGATTCTTAGATCCTTGCCCTGCCTCTCAACTTACCATTCTTCATATTCGTTCCCTCTTAGCCTCATGGGCCCTATCATACTTGGTCTTAAAACTGTGTAAGGGGCCTGCCTCCACTGCTTCATCACCAAGGTCATTTTACTTCCTGGTCACCCTGATACTGAAGAAATATTTCCTGACATCTCTGTGGCTTGTCTGTGCCTTTAACTTCGACTGTGTCCCAGATTTCCCATTTCTCACCTCAAACAGTTCCATTAAGTATATTGTATGTCACTTAGTAATTGTTAGGGTACACAGGAACAGGCTGTTTGAGAGGCTAGAAATAGGCTGAATTTGTGAAAAAAATAGACCTTCAACTAATGCCATCAATAGGATCCTTAAATATGGATTCAGATGTTCTTTCAAGATTTTATTTCTCTTTTGTCATTTTTTGTATTATTGTATTATGTATTATCACACTGGCCGATTCCCACCAAGGCAGGGTGGCCCGAAAAAGAAAAACTTTCACCATCATTCACTCCATCACTGTCTTGCCAGAAGGGTGCTTTACACTACAGTTTTTAAACTGCAACATTAACACCCCTCCTTCAGAGTGCAGGCACTGTACTTCCCATCTCCAGGACTCAAGTCCGGCCTGCCAGTTTCCCTGAATCCCTTCATAAATGTTACTTTGCTCACACTCCAACAGCATGTCAAGTATTAAAAACCATTTGTCTCCATTCACTTCTATCAAACACGCTCACGCATGCCTGCTGGAAGTCCAAGCCCCTCGTGAATTTTCTTTTGAGCAGAATGCAAAAACTGGAAAATGTTTTTAACTTGAATTTGTGAAAAAAGTATTTTGGACTTTAACAAATTTCTTATATAGATATTCACCTCTGGCAAGACAGTGATAGTGTGAGTGATGGTTTAAGCATTTCTTTTTATTGGGGGGATTGCCCTGCCTCGGTAGGAGACAGCCAGTGTTTTCTTTTTTTTTTTTAATTATAAATGTTATAGCCATCTTAATTAAGATGATGTAATTAATATTATATTTTTCAGGGTGAAGAAAGTAATTGAGTTGAAGAAGAAGGTTTGTGCTGGCAATAACAACATGTTCGTTTTAATAAATCAAAAAGGAATTGATCCCATGTCCCTGGACATGCTGGCGAAAGAAAACATATTAGGTTTAAGACGAGCCAAGCGCCGCAATATGGAGAGACTTGCATTGGCATGTGGCGGAATGGCTGTGAACAGCTTCGATGATATGACAGAAGAGGTCTTGGGTTTTGCTGGCAGTGTTTACGAGCATGTATTGGTGAGTTAAAATTGCAGGTGTGTTGGATTTACAAAAAAATAGTTTGCGTTTTACGAGCATATTTTAGTGAGTAAACGCAGATTTGTTGGTTTTAGAGAAAATATTTTGTGCTTTTTATGAGCATATTTTAGTACTTAAACACAGATTTGTTGATTTTATAAAAAATGCTTTAGTTTGTGTTAATTGCTGCAAAGTAAACATTTCTGTGAATTAAATAAATTACAGTAGTAGGCTGGTTCGTTAAAAAAAATTATATGGTGTCTTTATGGAATTTGTAATTATCTAAAAATGATGTGCTAGTTAAGTATTCACATGAAGACACAAATAAAAATCCCAGTAAGGCATAGGTGATTTTACCGTAAGGTAGATTTAACTGTCATGACATTACTGATTTTATAAGCTCATTCCAGTACTGAAATGCATCATTCCGGTACCAAAATACATGACACTTTTTGTTTTTTATTTCAGGGAGAAACTAAGTATACATTTGTTGAGGAGCTGAAAAATCCTCACAGTGTAACTATACTTATTAAGGGAGCCTACAAACACACCCTCCAGCAGACCAAAGATGCTATTCGGGATGGTCTTAGGGCAATCAAGAATGCCCTTGATGATAGTGCATTAGTACCTGGTGCAGGAGCCTTTGAGGTAAGCTAGCACTTGAGACTAGTTTAATATTTGTATGTTTGTTCATATCTGAAATTGGCATTTGTAATGCTTTGGGAAGAAATGGCTGTAAAGTGCTTCCATAGAATTATGAAAAGTTGCCACAGTAAAAATCTTAAACAAAAAAGTGTGAGAGTTATCTTTCATTTTTGATGGATTTGAGAAAGTTGGTAACTATACATTAATGTTTTGAGTGAAGGTAATTTGTCCAGTTTCATGTCTCTTAACTTTTGAGGTAACATTAGGTACAAACTACTTAAAATGTAGTGAGATTTAGAAATATTTTTCTGTACTATATATCAAAATTTTGCCTGCACTTTAAGAAAGGGTTTGGGATATTGGCTGTTTGGAGTGAGATCAAAACTATCGTATCTGAGCGCCTCTGCAAAGCCGGTGATTACGTATGAATGATGGTAAAAGTGTTGAACGATGATGGATGTTTTTTTTTTTTTTTTTTTTTTTTTTCTTTTTGGATCGCCATGCCTTAGTGGGGAAATGGCCGACATGTTAAAAAAAAAAAATTTAAATGACTTGGTTTGATTTGCATAGGCTGTGTACCACAGGTTCCTCTCCCACCTCCTAACAAATCAGCCGTATCCCACTGAGGCAGTGACCTAAAGAGAAAAACGAAAGTTTTTCCATTTTAAATTTAGTAATTTATACAGGAGATGGGGTTAATATACTAGCCCCTTGCTCCCAGCATTTGTCACCTCTTATGACTCGCATGGCTTTCGGAGGAAGAATTCTTTTCCACTTCTTCATGGAGCTGTACTGTATATGTTTTGTAAATAATACTTCTTCTATTCCAGATTGCAGCATACGATGCTTTAATGAAATACGAGAGTGATGTTAAAGGCCGTGCTCGCTATGGTGTACGGGCGTTCGCTGATGCTCTTCTAGTTATTCCAAAGACACTTGGTAAAGATTAGTTGTAATATACTTAACCTTTTTATTGACTGTCTATACAGAATTAGGTAGCTAGATTGTATTTAATCTCTAAGCAGATAGATGGTGATAAGTAAAAGTATGTACACTTTCTATTGTGTGTTGAGGTAGCACTGCATGGTGTCAAAGTTCCATATCCTAATGATGGTTCCTTTTCACTGTTTTATGGCTTTTCTGCCATGTGAAAATATTAAAAGTAACAACTGAGATTTATATTATGGACAGTGTCATTGAACATTTTCAACAGGAGAATGTAATACAGAATAACCAAAAAAGAAAAAAATCCCAGGCCTCTGGTTTTCATTGTCTTTGTTAATATTCTGTTTACAGTAGATGAAATTAATGAACTGTCCTTACACATTTTAAATATAACAGTAATAATATTTTCTCTTCAGCTAGTAACAGTGGATATGATCCAATGGACAGCCTGGTAAAGCTGCGAGAAGAGTATAAGAACAGTGGAGGACTACCAGTGGGTCTAGATATTAGCACAGGAGAGGCTGTCAACCCAAGTGATGCTGGCATATTTGATAACTATTGTGTTAAAAGGCACATGCTTGATGCATGGTAAGTAGGAAGATTAGCAAGACTGCAGAATGAGAGATAAAAGGCTTCCTTCAATATAATTAGCATTTATTTTATACCTGTAGTTTTATGCCTCAGTTTTTTATATCAAGGACAGTGCATTACATTACTGTGGTGTGATCAAATAAACCAAATGGATAGCAACACAGTTGAAGACATTGTATATTAGTGACTTTCACCATCACTCATTCCAATGTCTGTCTTGTAACAGTTCACCTACCAAAGACTATTGGTAGAGGGTAACATTTATGAAGGGATTCAAGGAAACCGGCAGGAGGACTTGAGTCCTGGAGATGGGAAGTACAGTGCCTGCACTCTGAAGGAGGGGTGTTAATGTTGCAGTTTTATAACTGTAGTGTAAGCATGCCTCTGGCAAGATAGTGATAGAGTGAATGATGGTGAAAATATTTTTTTCATGCGACCCTACCTTGGTGGGAAACAGCCAATGGGTTAATAAAAATACAAAATGTAGATATACAGTGGAACCTTGGCACTTGAACTTAATTGGTTCCAGAAGGCTGTTCGAGTACAGAACAAATTTTTTCCAACCAATTTTCTTTTTGGTGGGCTGTTATCACTAACCCTTTTAGACCCATGATGACTTATTTATACAAACAGTATAAAAAAAATGCAAAGAAACAAAACAGCTAACAATGAAGTTCTGGTAGGTCGTATTTGTTTGGCCGAGTGCCGAACAAATGGTTGACTTGAGTAATTTGTTTACCGAGCAAAGCATTCAAATACCGAATTGTTCAAGTACGGAGCTGTTCGAGTACCGAGGTTCCACTGTATAGTACTGAAAGGCACTCGTCAGGTGCTGGACTGAGGTGCGGTGTCCAGCTGTGGTGGTCGGACAACATTGGGCAAAATCTAATACAATGGTTTAGGTCTTGGTAATCTGTGCTTCCTGTGTTCCAGAAAAGTTCTTGTAAAAACCTGTTGGTTAAAAAAAAGAATGGAACATAAGGGGCACAGATTACCAGGACCCAACTCCTAAACCCAGACCTTCCCTGCCTTTACCCAATCACCATGGGTGTATACCTCACACCTAGCAAGACATGCCCTGCACCTGACATTGCCTTCGCCTATCATCCAATGTAACCACTTTTCAACATTGTACATAGTATATTAGCTTATAGGTAAAAAAACATAAAAAGGTCTCCTTATACTATACATGTCTTTTAGGCGAATAAGACACATACAACACTTTTGTATCTATTGTGGAGACATTTTGGCAACCAGTAGCTTTATCAATCCAATACAGAGAATAAGAGATAGAAGACTTATAGTAGTAGTGAGGTGATCAGTCCCTTGGCCTAGAATGGTGGTGGTCAGTCCAACAGTCTGGATAATCCATGAAGACTGTTGGTCTGAACACTTCCTTTCTAGGCTGAGGGACTGATGGCTCCAAACTCCTTGTGCTTATCTTCATTTCATTATTCTTTGTACTGGATGACTATAAAGCGACAAATGGGTAAAACTTTTCCACGATCAAAATACCCAAGTGTTGCACATGCCTTATTAATGTACATGTCTTTTTAATCTGAAATTCACTTTTTCAGTTGGAAATTCTAAAAAGTGTACCAGACATTCGTACCATTATTTTTTGATGTAGCTGAAAAGTAAAGGAAGTGAAACAGCAGAACTTTTCAATAACTGTTTAACCCGTAAACGGTCCAAGCAGATCTACGTTCACATGCGTAGTGCTACAAAAGTAGATCTACGTTTTTTTTTTACATATTTTCAAATATAACAAAAAAATAGATCAAAGTTTTTTACACATTTTCAAATGTAAAAAAACAAAAAGATCTACTTTTTTTACATTTAAATGTTGAAAAAACGTATGTGTATACATTTGGACCGTTTACGGGTTAAAAATGTTTCCATAGTTAGTGCTCAAATTTTGCATAAGTAATTAATCTTCGAATTGTTGATCATTAAATTTATTGTTTTGTACTTGGAGACTTAAATATATTAGTGACTTTCACCATCACTTTCTTCACAAAACTGTATAAAAAAAATATCCTTCAATGTACATTATTAAAATCCCACAGATCTGTAATCAAAATTGATAACTCAAAATATTTTTCAACTTATTTCATTACAGCTCGGTCATTGCACGCAATCTCCTCATTGTTGATGAAATCATGAGAGCTGGACTATCACAGCTGAAGTAGAGAACTACTGCATTATTCTTTGGTAAGACAAGATAATATTTTTAGGTATTGCCTTTTTGAATTAGCATGCAGGTACATTTAGTGCTGTGCAGATGTTTTGGGTAATTATCTCTCCATTGGGAAGTGGAAAAGAACTCTTCCTCCGTAAGCCATGCATGCCATAAGAGGCTACTAAAATGCCAGGAGCAAGAGGGTAGTAACCCCTTCTCCTGTATACATTATTAAATTTAGAAAGACAAACTTTTGTTATGGTTTTTAGGTCCCCCTTGCCTTGGTGCAATACAGCTGGCTTGTTGAAAAAAAAATTAAGTCTAGCTGTTTGTAGCTTAAACCCCATGAGAGTCGGAGCAAAGTTATTTGGAGGCTCGATCCTCCGTCCACTAATCTTGAGTGTGTTGATGTTCTGTAAATATAATAATTGGTCAGTGTAGTTCTTGTTGCAAAATAACTCAAAAAAAAAAAATTATTACTTTTAGAGCTTATAATTGCACTGTGGAGTCATAAATTTAACCAATTTTGAGTAACAACTTTTTTTTTTTTTTTTTTTTTTTTTTTTCATATTTTTAGTTATACAATGGACCCCGCATAACGATATTATTTCAATCCAGAAGTCTGTTTGGGTGCCGTTATAGACCGAATTTGTTCCCATAAAAGATATTGTGAATTAGATTAAGTCTGTTTCAGACCCCCAAAAATACGCCTACAAAAGCACTTATAAAAATACACTTACATAATTGGTCGAGTTGGGAGCTGATCGTTATGCGGGGTCCACTGTATTTTTTACCATGTAGAAGCTGGTTCATGGACTTGAGTTTCACTGCTCATGGTTAGTTGGATAGGCATTGTATCATCATATAGACTGTCATGACTGTTCAGACTTGTAGACTAACCCTTCCTTTAATTAATGTCATTCAAATTTACATCGTTGAAAACTTAACGCTAGGATTATTAGAATAGCCACATCAGTTTCTGAAAAATTTGAAAGACTGGATGTATTGTATTGTCAAATATAGAAATTATCCTCAAAAAAATTTAGTACTGTACAAATAGTTTGGTGATACTCATTATAGGAATATAGCAAATAATATTGTTGCAGAAATAACACCAGGAGGCAGCTCTGATGAAAACTCACACTCACACGAGCTTTTAAATCTCTGCACAAAATTCAATTTAAACCAGCAAATAATAGAGCCTACAAGACTGGAGAATACACTAGACCTCATCTTCACTAACAATGATGATCTGATAAGAAATGTCACCATATCAAAAACAATATACTCAGATCACAACATAATTGAGGTTCAGACATGTATGCATGGAGCCCCAGACCGACAAAATGAGACTAGTCATGAGGGAGCATTCACCAAATTCAACTTCAATAACAAAAACATAAAGTGGGACCAAGTAAACCAAGTCCTAACCGATATAAGCTGGGAAGATATACTAAGCAACACAGACCCAAACTTATGCCTAGAACAGATTAACTCGGTGGCACTCGATGTATGCACAAGGCTTATTCCTCTAAGAAAAAGGAGGAGTAGATGTAAAATAGAAAGAGACAGGCGCTCCCTTTACAGGCGACGGAAAAGAATAACAGAGCGGCATAAAAGAGGTCAATATATCTGAAATGCGCAGGGAGACACTGGTCAGAGAATAGCAAGCATCGAACTTAAGCTAAAAGAATCCTTTAGGAGTCAGGAATCGCGGGAAGAACTAAAAGCATAAATGAATCGAAAGAAACCCAAAGTATTTCTTCTCCTATGCCAAATCAAAATCGAGAACAACGTCCAGTATTGGGCCCCTACTTAAACAAGATGGGTTCCTACACAGATGACAGCAAGGAAATGAGTGAGCTACTCAAGTCCCAATATGACTCAGTTTTTAGCAAGCCGCTAACCAGACTGAGAGTCGAAGACCAAAATGAATTTTTTTATGAGAGAGCCACAAAATTTGACTAACACAAGCCTATCCGATGTTATCCTGACGCCAAATGACTTCGAACAGGCGATAAATGACATGCCCATGCACTCTGCCCAGGGCCAGACTCATGGAACTCTGTGTTCATCAAGAACTGCAAGAAGCCCCTATCACGAGCCTTTTCCATCCTATGGAGAGGGAGCATGGACACGGGGTCGTCCCTCAGTTACTAAAAACAACAGACATAGCCCACTCCACAAAGGGGGCAGTAAAGCAACAGCAAAGAACTACAGACCAATAGCACTAACATCCCATATCATAAAAATCTTTGAAAGGGTCCTAAGAAGCAAGATCACCACCCATCTAGAAACCCATCAGTTACAACAACCCAGGGCAACATGGGTTTAGAACAGGTCGCTCCTGTCTGTCTCAACTACTGGATCACTACGACAAGGTCCTAAATGCACTAGAAGACAAAAAGAATGCAGATGTAATATATACAGACTTTGCAAAAGCCTTCGACAAGTGTGACCATGGCGTAATAGCGCACAAAATGCGCGCTAAAGGAATAACAGGAAAAGTCGGTCGATGGATCTATAATTTCCTCACTAACAGAACACAGAGAGTAGTCGTCACAGAGTAAAGTCCGAGGCAGCTACGGTGAAAAGCTCTGTCCCACAAGGCACAGTACTAGCTCCCATCTTGTTCCTCATCCTCATATCCGACATAGACAAGGATGTCAGCCACAGCACCGTGTCTTCCTTTGCAGATGACACCCGAATCTGCATGACAGTGTCTTCCATTGCAGACACTGCAAGGCTCCAGGCGGACATCAACCAAATCTTTCAGTGGGCTGCAGAAAACAATATGAAGTTCAACGATGAGAAATTTCAATTACTCAGATATGGTAAACATGAGGAAATTAAATCTTCATCAGAGTACAAAACAAATTCTGGCCACAAAATAGAGCGAAACACCAACGTCAAAGACCTAGGAGTGATTATGTCGGAGGATCTCACCTTCAAGGACCATAACATTGTATCAATCGCATCTGCTAGAAAAATGACAGGATGGATAATGAGAACCTTCAAAACTAGGGAGGCCAAGCCCATGATGACACTCTTCAGGTCACTTGTTCTATCTAGGCTGGAATATTGCTGCACTCTAACAGCACCTTTCAAGGCAGGTGAAATTGCCGACCTAGAAATAGTAAGAGAAACTTTCACGGCGCGCATAACGGAGATAAAACACCTCAATTACTGGGAGCGCTTGAGGTTTCTAAACCTGTATTCCCTGGAACGCAGGAGGGAGAGATACATGATTATATACACCTGGAAAATCCTAGAGGGACTAGTACCAAACTTGCACACGAAAATCACTCACTACGAAAGCAAAAGACTTGGCAGACGATGCACCATCCCCCCAATGAAAAGCAGGGGTGTCACTAGCACGTTAAGAGACCATACAATAAGTGTCAGGGGCCCGAGACTGTTCAACTGCCTCCCAGCACACATAAGGGGGATTACCAACAGACCCCTGGCAGTCTTCAAGCTGGCACTGGACAAGCACCTAAAGACAGTTCCTGATCAGCCGGGCTGTGGCTCGTACGTTGGTTTGCGTGCAGCCAGCAGCAACAGCCTGGTTGATCAGGCGCTGATCCACCAGGAGGCCTGGTCACAGACCGGGCCGCGGGGGCGTTGACCCCCGAAACTCTCTCCAGGTAAACTCCAGGTAAATAGTTATTGTACGTTCATAACACAGTGGATCCTCGAATTTAGTCGTGCCGTTTCTGTATGCAAAACTATTTTTATTATCTATAAAATGTATATTTTGTTAATGTTTCGCATAGGAAATAATGTAAATCCAATTAAACCATTCCAGACACCCAAAAATATTAACAAAAAATACATTTTATAGATAAAAATAGTTTTGCATACAGAAACGGCACTACTAAATTCGAGGGTCCACTGTATATTCATTTATAATGCTCTTATACAGTACAGTGATTTTTTTTTTTCTTTTGCCACTGTTTCTATATTAAATTATTGTGGAATAAACTAAATCTTGCCATTGTGGAACTCAAGGATCTTGGATGAACTTTTATATATGGAACAGACTATTCTAGACTAATTCAATTCAATTTTCCTTTTGTGTTCTGGAAATCTTATTGCTTGTTGAAAAATAAGAACTTACAGTAACAAAGAAAATTGCTGCTAATTCTTAAATTTACATAGAAAGGCAAGCCATATTTTTCTCCATTTAAGTTTCAGTAAACGGTATAAAATTAGTGGTAATCGTTAAGCACAGTGTTGAACACTGTATTAAAAGATGCCTTTCTCCTTTACAGCACCGTCTTACCAAGGATCTTCTCGCAGCTGGAATGATCCCATTTACACCAGACTCCAGCTTAAACAAAATTCACATAATGATATTGCTTGGCTATGCCTCTTTTTTTTTTACTAATAAAGTTCCATAATGCAATTTATCAAAAATTTCATTTAACCTTTACTGTTTTTCATTCCTAAAACAGTGTGTAAATTACTGTACTGTACCGAGCTACAATTCCTTATGCAATTAATAAGGGAATTTTTGTTCTTATTGTTGAGATTTGTGGCTTAATCCAAAATTCCAAGTGATGTACAGTACAAATCATTCCCATAATTGGTGGGAATTTTTAGAGCTGATGTGAATTTTGAAATCACAGAAAACAATATTTCATATATTTTACAAAATCATTAGAACAGCACAATAAAATCTAAAATGATTTTTAGTCAGTATTTTTCATTTTAGTGGTAAACAGGAAATTATATTGAAAAATCTAAGGATTTTTTGTCCCTTTTTTAGGCATATTTAAATATTGATTTAATCGTCTCATTGGTATTCATGAAGAATGAGCCTAGTATGAAAGAACTCGTTTTTAATTTAGGGTTCGTGCGCCAAGCAAATAAGACGGCAAAAAACGAAAACTTGTGAATAATCAGAATTATCAACAAAATGGTCTTCAGTTGAAGGTGTTATCAACTCTCCCTGATTGTTGAAATCCTTTTAATCTGAGGTCTTTTCTGGTAACTGTTGACCCCTCGAGGGAGGTTCCTTGATTCTGGTGAGGGGCTCTTGGTCTAAGGAATTAGAGCTGTGCTCCAGGCACCTGAATTGAGTCTAAATACCTTCCATTGCTACAAGTTTAGCACTCCCCATAATAATAGAAACCCTGGTGGGAAAGTTTTAATGTGAGGAGATAAACTTGACCCCTCTCCTTATATGAGCTTGATTTCCTCAAATACCCGTTATTCTATACGTGACCCTTATGAGTTCAACGCTTTCCCGTATTAAATAACCATATTTTGGAAAGAGAGGGGGTAAAGGAGGTTTTGTGGGTAAGGGGCTTGGACTTCCAGCAAGCGTGCGTGAGCGTGTTAGATAGGAGTGAATGGAGACGAATGGTACTTGGGACCTGACGATCTGTTGGAGTGTGAGCAGGGTAATATTTAGTGAAGGGATTCAGGGAAACCGGTTGTTTTCATATAGTCGGACTTGAGTCCTGGAAATGGGAAGTACAATGCCTGCACTTTAAAGGAGGGGTTTGGGATATTGGCAGTTTGGAGGGATATGTTGTTTATCTTTATATGTGTATGCTTCTAGACTGTTGTATTCTGAGCACCTCTGCAAAAACAGTGATAATGTGCGAGTGTGGTGAAAGTGTTGAATGATGATGAAAGTATTTTCTTTTTGGGGATTTTCTTTCTTTTTTGGGTCACCCTGCCTCGGTGGGAGACGGCCGACTTGTTGAAAAAAAAAAAAAAATTTTGGAAAGAAGTAGAGTAATATCAAACTCCAAATGGGGTGCTCTGTTACTTGTGAAAGAAGGCTCCAGTTGTTGCCGGGTAAGTACGAGTTGGAATTGGGTGCTTGATCCAAGGAATTGGCGTCACTTTAGGTCAGACCTAATCGCCTCCCGTTCCCCAGGCACTATGACTTAGTTTAGTACTTTTTTTTTTTTTTTTTTTTTTTTTTTTTTTTTACATGGCCATTTCCCACCAAGGCAAGGTGACCTGAAAAAGAAGAAACACCTTCATCATCATTCACTCCATCATTGTCTTGCCAGAGGTGTGTCACTGCTGCTACCTAAATATAATAGTAATTTGCTGCCCTTTGGAAGTGAATGGCTCTTATTCCCCTAGGCACTATATGACCCCTGCAGCCTTACCTCTCCCCCATGAATATAATTCATCACATCTGAGACTACCACTGTGATGATAAAGTTCCTGCCAAATACTGTGTGCACAGACCCAGGTGGTTTTCTGTTTTGGATAAAGTGTGCTATTGGTAGCTGCTCTTCAACACAGTTTACCAAGAAAAGTGCATGTCTTTAGGAAGGCTAGCATATGAAGATGAATTTTGCACTTAGTTACGATTATAACTAAGCTCTCTCGGGCCTCCCAGAGTTTTTTAGCGACAATCTGTACTTGTGTGGAATGGCTTGTCCTGCGTGAAAATTTGCTACAGGACTTGTGGTAAACAACTTTTGACAAGTGACCAGCAAGCAGACCCACCTCTCAATCTTTTTTCCAGTTGTAAATGATGCAACCACAATGATGCAGCTTTCATGTTTCTGAACTGATAGCAGTGCAGCAAGTATGTGCAATGATCAGTGAACTTTCCTCTTTTTTTTTTTTTTTTTTTTTTTTTTTTAATACGGCCTCCTCTCAGCGAGGTTGATGACTAAAGAAAGAAGAAACACTCACCACTCCCTCCACTCTTGCCAGAGTTCAGATGCCCCTCCAAACTGCAGTATCCCCATCCCTTGCTATTTATTTGGCTTGCATCAGATAGGCTGTTAAAACCCTACATCATATGCTGGCAGTTTATAGACAACAAATGAGACATTCAGTGCCTATAGGTACTTACCAGCATAAACTGTAATGTGTTTATTTAGTGGAGGATCAAGCCACCACTGCCACATCTCTGCACTGAATGACCAGGACTGAAAAAATTTCTTACCTGGAGTTACCTGGAGAGAGTTTCGGGGGTCAACGCCCCCGCGGCCCGGTCTGTGACCAGGCCTCCTGGTGGATCAGCGCCTGATCAACCAGGCTGTTGCTGCTGGCTGCACGCAAACCAACGTACGAGCCACAGCCCAGCTGATCAGGAACTGCCTTTAGGTGCTGAGCTGAATGACTCACGAATTTAGCTCTTCACAAACTAAATTGCATTATAATCTACTTATTTAACATTAATCCAGCTAGTTCAGTGAGGCAGGATCTAAGTTTTCCAATTTTCTCCCTTTCCGGCTGTCTGTAAAAAGGGCAGTTGGGCAAATCAGCGAACACTGCAACTTTCCGGTACTACAATATTTAGCAGGTTGGAGAGTGTTGTGTTAGAGAGGGCTATGCTGGCCCAGTGAGTAGAAAAGTGTACCGTCATTTTCATCGACCCATGTTTGAATATCCCAAAAACCTGTCAATTGTTGTAAGCTCTTTAATGTTTTCATAGTTCATATATACGGGAAGGCTTCGCTGATGCAACAGGTTAGATTCCAGGATACTGCTGTAAAGTGAAAATAACTGCAAAGTGAAATAGCGTTTTTCATTTTGTGACCAGACCTACTTGGATTTCATTACCTTGTAACTTGGTCATGATTGTGGCCACATCTACCTGGAGTTCATTATTTTTGTACCTTGTTCAGCTATCAAAACTTTGGAGCCCAGTCCCTGGACCCATTATGTACCTCTGTAATCCTTTGACTACCACCCACAGGATGGTTATAGGGTGCATAATAAAGAGAATGGATGAAGACTCGGCCTGCAAATACAGTACAGTGCTGGACCTGCTACAAATCATGACCACAGTTCGAGTTAGTCCATTCTTTTATTTATATATAAAAGTACAGGCAAGCCCTGCTTATAGCATTTCACTAATACAGTAGTTTTCAATTATTCTGTATTTGTGTACACATTCTTCATTTATTCAGACTTCATACAATAAATATACAGTGGACCCCCGCGTTACGATCAGCTCCCAATGCGACCAATTATTTTTTTATTTTTTTATTATCACACCGGCCGATTCCCACCAAGGCAGGGTGGCCCGAAAAAGAAAAACTTTCACCATCATTCACTCCATCACTGTCTTGCCAGAAGGGTGCTTTACACTACAGTTTTTAAACTGCAACATTAACACCCCTCCTTCAGAGTGCAGGCACTGTACTTCCCATCTCCAGGACTCAAGTCCGGCCTGCCGGTTTCCCTGAATCCCTTCATAAATGTTACTTTGCTCACACTCCAACAGCACGTCAAGTATTAAAAACCATTTGTCTCCATTCACTCCTATCAAACACGCTCACACATGCCTGCTGGAAGTCCAAGCCCTCGCACACAAAACCTCCTTTACCCCTCCCTCCAACCCTTCCTAGGCCGACCCCTACCCCACCTTCCTTCCACTACAGACTGATACACTCTTGAAGTCATTCTGTTTCGCTCCATTCTCTCTACATGTCCGAACCACCTCAACAACCCTTCCTCAGCCCTCTGGACAACAGTTTTGGTAATCCCGCACCTCCTCCTAACTTCCAAACTACGAATTCTCTGCATTATATTCACACCACACATTGCCCTCAGGCATGACATCTCCACTGCCTCCAGCCTTCTCCTCGCTGCAACATTCATCACCCACGCTTCACACCCATATAAGAGCGTTGGTAAAACTATACTCTCATACATTCCCCTCTTTGCCTCCAAGGACAAAGTTCTTTGTCTCCACAGACTCCTAAGTGCACCACTCACTCTTTTCCCTCATCAATTCTATGATTCACCTCATCTTTCATAGACCATCCGCTGACACGTCCACTCCCAAATATCTGAATACGTTCACCTCCTCCATACTCTCTCCCTCCAATCTGATATTCAATCTTTCATCACCTAATCTTTTTGTTATCCTCATAACCTTACTCTTTCCTGTATTCACCTTTAATTTTCTTCTTTTGCACACCCTACCAAATTCATCCACCAATCTCTGCAACTTCTCTTCAGAATCTCCCAAGAGCACAGTGTCATCAGCAAAGAGCAGCTGTGACAACTCCCACTTTTTGTGTGATTCTTTATCTTTTAACTCCACGCCTCTTGCCAAGACCCTCGCATTTACTTCTCTTACAACCCATCTATAAATATATTAAACAACCACGGTGACATCACACATCCTTGTCTAAGGCCTACTTTTACTGGGAAAAAATTTCCCTCTTTCCTACATACTCTAACTTGAGCCTCACTATCCTCGTAAAAACTCTTCACTGCTTTCAGTAACCTACCTCCTACACCATACACTTGCAACATCTGCCACATTGCCCCCCTATCCACCCTGTCATACGCCTTTTCCAAATCCATAAATGCCACAAAGACCTCTTTAGCCTTATCTAAATACTGTTCACTTATATGTTTCACTGTAAACACCTGGTCCACACACCCCCTACCTTTCCTAAAGCCTCCTT